AAAACAAGACTTAATAAAAGAAGGAAAGTTATTTGAAATGGAAAGAAACTGGATATTTTTTCCACTCTTGCAAAGGATTTGCAGAAATACTTGAAAGATCTTAAGTTTGGCTCTTTCTTCAGTTTTCTCCAGATTTTTTCCTCAAGAAAAGAGAGTGAAATGTTGATATAAACCAGTTTGTGTTTTACAGCATATTAATATACTGATTTTCTCAAGGAGAGAGAAGAAGGGGAAACCTTACTGTGGAGGAACAGCAAATGTCCTGAGAACAACCTGAAATGCCAACTTAGCATTTATGCACTTCAAAAATGTCTTTGACTTTTATAAGCAGCCATGATGGCAAAATTGAGGCTGTTAAAAATACATGGTTTACTTCAGTAGTTTATAATTCATACTGGCATTTAGAGGGTGGAGTTGTAAATTAGTAAGTGGACTGCTGCCACAGCAGAGTAGGCTGCTGCTCTGCAAAGGAGAAGCTTTGCTAAGAATAGGAATGTGGTCACCATGATAATGAACAAGGGCTCCTCATGCCAGAAACGTTGATGGGAGACTGGGAGATGGTTGTTGGATCTTTAACAGCTGCTCTAGAAATTAGATGTTATCAAAGATCTGTTTGAAAGATTGAACTGGATGAAAAGCATGACAAACTTAACCAGTAAGACCTGGTTTCAATTTTTAGTAGCACTACTGAAAGGCAGAGTGGCACACAAAATATTTGTGTTGTCAGTGAATTGGAAGGTACAGTTTTACAGCCAACAAAATGCTATGTTTATTCTGCTGCAAGAGGGAGACAGCAGTCTCTATGCATAAAAGTCACTATTTTTTCCCTACTGCTTTCAAATTAAGTAGATTAATGTGCCAAGAAAGCATTACAATATGTTGATCAGGTACTTGATCTGGTCTGTCAAACACTCAAAAAAAGTAATTTACTTTCTGGAAACTATATAATGTTCCAAATAAACCCAGCTTTTAAAAGACACTAGATTTCTCTGAGAGGGGATGATTTACTTGTCACTAGGATGATTTGCCTTTGGATTCTCAGTAGCTGTAACAGCCTTATTTAAAGGTTGAAAGCTGGGAGCATTATATCAGAAATCCTGAGTGAAGGGTGCAGATAGATATGAATGGCAGTAAAAAACATGCCACCTTCAACTTTTGGAAGCTTTACTTCTGAGTGACAGCTGCTGTGTGATTGCTGCTCATCCAGAAGCAGACAGGAAAGTATTCTGAACCAAAATGCATGACCTGCATGACTGCAATAATTTCATGTTTTAGACTGCTTAAATTCCCAGTTGATGGGCATCAACACAGTGCTCTCCATTTTCTGGCGTTAAGTTACAAGTTTGAGCTATGTCAACCTGAAAGTGATCCACAGGAAACTTTCGCTGAAAAGTAAAAAAAAAAAAAAATAAAAAAAATCTGTATGAAATCATTGTATCTGCTTTACATGCCACAAAATCCTTTCCTATGGGGCCTTGCTTTGATCCCTGTTTGTGCTAGCCAGCTCTAGGCCCCTCAGAGCAGAAGAGCTGCACACAGATATTACATTGCTAAACAGCTCATCAATGGAGGAAACCAGGTCACTTCTCCTGTAGGAAGATCACCAACAAAGTGATTTTGTCACAAAACACTAATCTGTCTGTTTTCTGAGTCAGAATATGGGACACATTTCTAGCAGAAACCACTTTGAGCTGCAATCCCTCCCTAAACTTTTCCAGATTTCCAAATATTGATTTCATTCACTATTAAATAGACAAAATAACTTCTCAAAAGGGTTGCTGGGCTAATAACCTATCACATTCCACTGAGGACTCATCCATATGGAGCTCAGTGATCACTGTGTATCTTCTATAAAGATATCCCTTAGGGAGGCATGTGTCTGGTACAAAAGAATTGAGTATTTCTGCTCTTACTGGAAAGACTTCATCTGACAGGAGAATTTATAGCAGCTTTTGTGACATAGACAGGGAACAAAAAATATATTTTGTCAAACTGAAGCCACTAATAACCTCTTGGCAGACAGGATTAAAGAGGTAGCATCCCAAGTAGCTCTAAGACTTATGCTCTTTGTTTAAATTCTGTGTTCCCACACTCTAACAAATCTAAAGCATGTAAGATTGCAGTAGAGAGTAGGGAATGCAGGTCAGCTCTTAAAAGATCTGTCAGTTTCAGAACTCTACATGCTTACAATTTAACCTAATTAAAGCCATTAAATTATAATTGAATATGGAAATGTACTGGCTAGAAAGTGAATCTGTCACGACCTCAAATCACTTCATTTATTGTAACTCTGAAATCCTGATCCATTATGAAACCTGTGCAGCAGTGCATCCCATGCTGACAAAGGGGCACCCTACAGATACAAATGTGGTGTCATCTCTGAGCCACATTTTAAAATGTGGTTTTTGAAAGCTACTAGCAAGAGTCGAGTTTGCTTTCCAGAGCCTGTTTCTTCCTGCCCAGCTGATGCCTGCCTGGCCAGCAGTAGCACATTGCTCATGAGGGGGTTTGAGCACACTCATCCTCACCCTAACAGCTCCTTAACTCCTGGCTACCTTCTGTATGTGCAGACCAGTCAAGAACTGAAATACCCTTTTAAACTGTTGATATCTGCTGACAGAGTCTCAACAAACTGATTTAAAAGCAGATCCATAGCAATTACACTAAAGTAGTTTCTGGAAAACTCCACAGGAAAAAAAAAAGGAACAAATTTATTAACATGGGTAGCAAATAAAGCAATATACAAATATAGGGGGGATATTGTAACACTGCAGGTGACTTTGATTTGATTTATAAGAACACTTGGCATCAGTTCAGCTATAGGCTCTCTTACATACCTTGGATCATATTGAGCCAGCTTCTGCAAAAAATTACTCAAAACCCTTTCAAAATAAAAAAAAAAATTCTACAAGACACACAATGTACATTTGACTGTGTACCTTAGTAAGCCTACGGTAAAAATGGCTTCTTACTAGGAAATCTAAATAAACTGGGATACAGAATATAGTGTTTGAATATTTTTTTCTTTCTCTGCTCTGTTCTTAACCAGTTAAAATCTCTTTCTATTGGAAGAGCTCATCACTAAAAGCATGGACAAACTTTTATACAGAATCTCTGGCCAAGGACTTTCTGCACAGCAGAAGTGAAACATTCCTGCTATGGGCCCTGTGAAAGAAGAGTATCTGACTAAAAATATCATCACAAAAACAAGCACAGTGTAGACCAGGAACTTTGGATTTCATACTTTTTCTGTCCATACTTTCAGCAATAAGATGTTTAATCTGACTGTATTTGAAATCTGCAACAGCATATTCAGCTTTTTTTTTTTTTGGGAAATGACAAATTAAAATCACATCAGAAAAAAAGGCTGAGAGGTGAGATGGTGGCAATACCATTCTTACCAAAGGCTTCTAAAATTGTTAGAGAAGACAACACCCCCAAAAGCAAGCATAATTAGTCCATTTCTTCCTATAAAACTGTGTCACTTTACTATGTGATGCAGATGGTAAAAGTAAATTGCTTTAACGAAAAATAGTAGAATCCCAAAATGCAGTCAAATCAGTACAGCTGTATCCAAGAACTTTGTGGCACAGCATACAGATTTCTATACTGCAAAATGAACAAGGCAATAACTAATTTAGCTATACATTACACAGTTACTAAAAATACAAGCAGCAATCTCAAGTAAATGCTAGATCCCTCAGTAGTTAGACAAAATTTTATTATTTTCTTTATTAGAAAAAAATAATCCACAATAACTTGTCTTAAATTAATTTTTAAAATGCAAAAGACTGGATAAGCTAACACCAGTTCAAAAAGGATCCGAGTAAAACCAAATGATCCTTGTGACTATCAGCCCTATTTCTACCATGCACAAAACTCCCCCACAAACAAAAATGTAACAGAGAACCATAAAAAGAAACAAAACAAACTAAAAAGGAAAAAAACAAAATCTAATGAAAGGTGTACAGTTTTTCAGTATGAACTTTGGAAAACCACTCATGCACTGGATTGAACAATTTATTTCTGAACTCTTTCCTTCATACATGATGACTTTCAAAAAGGTTTTGCTATTTTGTAAGTAGCACAATCAGTATTAAATTAATCCAAATATTTGTGTGTGTGTAATGTAAACCACCCAAATTTAAAATAAATATTTGCTACTAACATGTCATATAGAATTAATGACAATTTTATTTTTAGAAAGTTCACAGAAACAGATCATTAGCACACATCAGTATTTGTTAAGATGGATAAGCACTTGCAAAAAAAGAGGTCCATATTCAACATATTACTAATAACTAACAATGAAATAGAATGGGTATTGTCTATGCATAAACAAACTTAAGGTTTTGGTCAAAAAATATATATTATTTAAGTACACATTGTAAATAACAGGCTGAATGTACTATTTTTGTACTATTTTGTACTATTTAACTGAATGTGTTATTTTTAAAAAACATATCATAGCATATATCTACAAAACTAATTAGAATTTAGAACTGAAATTAAATCAAGAATTGTTTCTTGTATTAATCCCGTATCAGATGAATATTTACATTTGTTTTACTTAAGGCACAAGTCAATCTTATTGAACAGCAGCTCTTGCTCTTGAACTCAAACAAATACTTAAATATCTCACTGTAGCTCTGTCACCAGGGTATATCACCACATTCAGAGCTTAAACTATACCTGTATCTAAAAAATTTTCCTACTCATATTTATAAAATACTAGTATAGTGTATTCCTAAGCAAAATGATGAGATGTAGAGGAAAATGGCTGGATGGGACAGCCTTGTGGTGGCAACTCTCCCGCGTAATGTAGAGCTATACTGAGGCTAAACTGTAGGGCAAAAAAGGGAAGAAACCTAATGACCTCAATTTTTGACTGTTTTAATATGTTAGATATTGAATTGAAAGATAATCTGTGATCACCTGCATTTACCATGGGCTAAAAGGACTCGGGTAAGCTTTTACAGCCCAGCACATTCACAGACCAATTCTGTGTGCATACCCTACACCTGCTGCTGCTGTCATGCACTTGGCCTTTGCATTGCTGTGCTATGGATAACACAATGGTTTCTGTCAGGAACATCAGCTCCATTCCCCACTGGGACCAGCCAGCAGGATATACAGCAATGACTGACCTGTTTCTCCTGCCCACAACAGATGTTTTCCTAGGGAAGAATTAACATTAAAAAATTTAATCTGTCAAAATAATGTATGGCCTCAACAGCTTTGCCTCTGACAAGACTGGGAGCCAAATCTTGATGAGTTTCTTTACTATAAAATTGATTAAAGAAGTCAGTTAAACATTATTACATATGCATCTTTCAAAAACTGCACATAATTCTGGATCATCTGGTTCTTGATCACTGACTTCTGTAGGCTGTTCTCCAGTTCTTTTAAATGTACTTCATAGTGCTTTTCATTCTAATGAAAAAAGAAAAATGCATAGAGACTTAGGAAAAAAAATCAATAAATCAAAATAATAATCTAAGACATGAAGTAACTAATTTTTATAGCTTTATTTACCTGCAAAAGTTTTCAGAGGCTCCACAAAAGCAAAGGTGCTAGAAAAGGCTTTTATTTATGTTCAGTCAGGACTAACCTGAACATGTTTGGAGAGACTTAAAATCAAAAAAAGTCCTACAGTACTTTATAAGAATTGCAAATTCAGATTACTGTCATTAACTTAGGAAAGAAAAGAAGCTATCAGTACATTATTATGGGATTGTCATGCATCTAATCAAATATAGATATGCTTACTAAACACAATTATCTGAGGGAAATTACAACTTCATACCTTTTTTTTGTCTTGCTGGGAAAACTTGACTAAGAGTCGTCAACGCAATATTATTTAAGTGATTTAGTTAGACTGGACATCTGTTAGGTTGATGGGAAGTGTCAATGTACAAAGTATATTGTCAAGTTGAATTAATTTACTGTTCTGAAAAGTGTGTATCAGCTGTATTAGTAGTTGTTTTCAGTAAAAGGAACATGTTTTTGTAAATGGTGATGTGGTAAGTGATTTCTTAAATCACAAACAGCATTATTTACTCACATGGTGAAATAAGAAGAGGAGATGTTTTTTTTCTTCTTGCCTCTTTCTCACTTCATCTTCAAGAAGTAGCAGTTTTGTCTGAAAGACTTGTTCTTTGTATGACATTTTTTCCCATTCTTCAGCTACCTATAAAAGCAATGGGAGAGAAAGAATATATATGTTATATATATAAAATATATTTATAAATTACATTATATAATTCATTATATATTATACAATATAATTATAAATATGTATATATATATATATATATATACATATAACATATCTATTTACTCTTAAAGCCCAAATCAAATTATTTTCTTATCTCTTAACATTAATAGCTCTATTTCTTATTATTTAATTGAATACTTAACTTATTTCTCATGCCCAGGACTTAAACAAACCTGAGAAATATTCTGGCTAAATTTGAAACCTGTTTCAATTTGGAAAAAAAAATGAAATACAGTGGGAGGGGAACACTTTTTAGCTTATTTTCAAGTTAACACAAAATTCTAGTTTTCTCAAAACAAAAGAAATATCCTCAGTAGTGAAAAAATATCAGATGGTTATTTCTACATTTTTAATCTGAAGTTGCAACTTCATACATTTTTTCTGATTAAATTAATGTAATTCACTACAATCTAAATTCCTACATTTCCTCTTGAATTTGATTGACTGTTTGCATAATTTCTACAAATTGTAAAATTCTGCTTAATACAGAATGAATGCAAATTCTTCCTCTAAAAGGAGATGGATTTCAACGCAAATGTTCTTGTGGACTTTTATAACAGAGAAAATAAAAGGTAAAATTAAGCTTTTGTACAGAAACTTTTTGCCATATGTGTGGGATTTAATATAAGGTGGTTAAAGAATTTTGATTTGTTAATTTAAAAAATTATAATAAAACGTTGGTAAATTGAAACTTGGTATTTATTTCCATAGTATCCAAATTTGACAAAGAAATTGAATTGTTCCATCCATATTTAAAACATGCAGAAATTAATAATAACTGTTCAGTATTTCTCCCTACATGCAAAATAGCGACAAAAAATTGTCCCATAATTTTTTCTCAAGCTTATTTTTAATGCTATTTTTAAATAGAAAGTAGCAAAATAGATTGAGAAATGTATTAAAGCACCAATACCATTTTTTTCCCTTCTTCCACAGCAGATTCAAGTTGTCTAGTTAATGCATTATATTCTGCAATTTTCTCCTCAAGCTGCAATTTACTACTCTGAAGACTCTCATCTTCTTTTGTGAGCTGGTAAGCAAGTTCTTCATTCTGATATTCCATCTGTCCTAATTGCCTTTACGTGAAACAGATCAGTGCATTATAATTCTCTATAGCAGAAAAGTGTAGGAATGAATTTTAATCAGATTCTTCAAGTTACCTTTGAAGATCTTCATACTTCTTCTGAATGTTACAGATCTCTTCCTCTAAGCAAAGATTGTCCATAAAAGTTACAATATGTTTATCCTGTGAAAATGACAGTTTGTTTCTAGTTGAAAAGACCTGTATACAGGCTCTTACTGGAGTAAAGTAAGCCTGTCTATTAAAACCCATCAAAAAATTTAACTGTAATTTCAGATAAATGCTATGTTCATTCAGACAAATGCTCTATTATAATCAGGTAAATGTTATTTTGTATTATTGTACCTTGTATAATTATCTTAAATTAGTAAAAGACAGCTAAAGTTAGAGACTAAAATTTTGTTTGAATGCTTTAAGGCTGAAAAACTGCTATGTAACAAAGTCCTAAAAAACTCCATGTGCTGCTCATGCAGCCTTGTTTATTAGGAGTTGGTCAGGTCTACCTGATCAGCAAAAAAGGCTCCCTCACACTACAGTCACAGGAAGCATAAAAATAACACTGCAAATACATAGGATTATCACAGGAGAACAGTGCAGCACTGGCAAAGAATTTCAGAAAGAAGAGAATATCAAAAAAGACAATCAAGTTCATGAAAAGAGATACATAAGCAGCAGAAGCTGAAGGAAGCAAGAAGCCAGTCTTCTCCTGCCCAGCACCCAGAGTGCTAAACTTTGCACGTTTTCTTTCAAATCTGAGAAAACATGAGATTATTGCTCCTTCTTCCACCCATCAACAACCTGTTAGGAATAAACAGGCACCTCAACAGCCTGTGGGTGTCGTCATTTAAAGGGGTGACCACCACCATTCTTTGGACCACCTCAAGCAGTCCCATCCAGCAATTTGAGCTCACCTGTCTGATTGTGTTTATCAGAATTACAGGCTGTTCAGGTGGCAGCAGACTGGTAGCAGCAGAAATTAGTCCAGCTGAACCTCAGAGAGGTTTTCTACAGAGGGAGCAATTGCTCCAAAATTAATTTTCCTAAATTTTGGTCATAGAGTCAAGGGTAAAGTACATCAATCACCAAGACTTAATGCTGAAATTTAACTACTGTTCCACCAGACTAGTGATTATATTTCCAATTATTTTGCTATACTTAAGAGGTTTTTCTGCACTTTTTCAAGTACACACGTAGTTAGATTAAAATTACATACATCATTTTATATGCTGTATAAATTTTGTACCTCAAAATTAATTATTGCTTAAGTACTTTAAGATTTAAGAGTTTATGAACATTCCTGGAGGAATCAAAAATCAAGACCAATGTTTTATATAAAGTCTACAGGACCACAGAGACTCACAGTACTTCAGCTGTAGTTTTCCTACTGACACAGAAGATGATTAGGCCCCTTTCCCAACCTGCCAACTTAAAAACCTTTGTCATTTGTGCTCTTATAACTTAAAAGCATATTACAATAAGGACAAAAAATAACAAAAAAACCCTCAAGCCTACCCTGCCATAGAAATTGATGTCAGAGAAAAAAAGAGTAGAGGAAGATTCATTTTCAGGCTTTAGAGAAAATACAAACATTAGTGTTAAATACAGCTAAAGATTGCAATTATCCTATTAAAGCATTTTTTAAAAGTACTTACTCAACTAAAACATTTTAAAATTTTACACATCACCTAGAATATAATTTATCTGATTAAATATTGTATGGTTTATAAATTTGTCATTATAAACAAAAGTAATGTATAATTAAATTATTCTACTAGATACAAAAAATACCTAGACTTGCATCTATTTCCAGGGAAGAATTCTGCAACACATCTCAGGACATATGTATTCAAATAGATCAGAAATATAATCATTCTAAAAGTTACAAGTCTTGCCAGACAATGAATTCAAATAAATATAGTTGGCAACAGTTTTATTTGCATATCTGACTTCCACACAAGTTTTTGATTTATGAAGAAAATAACAAAGAAAACCTCACCACTCTCACACATGCCAATAGTAAAAAATGCCCCAGTGACTTTTTTTCCACATAATTTTCTCATTTGTCTTTAGAAATCAGCATGTTCTAACCATCTGAAGCTCCAGCTCCCTGAGGGTTTTGCATTTCTCTGCACAGATCCTTTCCCAGGCCAGAAGCTTTTGTTGGTTTTCCTCAGCTGCTTTCAGCAAGTCACAAACGTGTTCTAACTCCTTTAACTTGGCCTCCATTTTGTGCCTCAACTACATAGTATCATCACAGGAGAAAAATGTAAATGTAAAACCATCAATTAATTGTAATACTTAATGGATTTTCATGTAGGTAATAAAGCTAAAATTCTATACAAGTTACCTATCATCTATTTTATAAAATATTGACAAAGATACAAGTTCGTTCCTGATGCTTAAGAATGTGTTGTCTTCCAGTGTTCAGCTCCATCTGCTGAAAAATTTATAGCTCATCTCTGTATGGAGTCCTAATCTTAACTGTTAGCTAAAAATAAAAGGACTTACAATAGGTTTGCTTCCATGTACAACTTTCACAACTGTTCTGTCAAGAAGATAGTTTCAAAATCATCAATAATAAAATCACACTTTTGAAAGTGATAAAGGAATTCTGGAATTCTAAAATAGTAGCCAAACTACTTAGCAATTGTAGTAGGAATAATTGCTCAATTGTTTGCAATTGTGTAATATCCAAAACCCACCAGCTTTAGATAGCAGTCAGTAAAAGTCTCAGAAATTTAAAACCAAGGGATAGTACCTTGTGACTTCTAACAAGATCACAAAAATGTAGAAAAGATCTGTGTCCTACAGAATTGTTTGTAAACATTCTTTACTATTTGCAAAACTTACCTTATCTTCTTCTAAGCATTTGTTTTCTGTTATTTTTTTGTTTTCATTTAAGAGTGTTTCACATCTGGATTTCAATTCTTCCACTGCAATTTGTTTTTCTTGTACCTAGGACAACATACATTTTTCACACACATTTGCAAGGTCCTTCATTTAAATATAGAAAAGATAGAATCATTAGTATGAAGCATAAAGGAAACCTCTGACTCAACACTCTGACTTCTAAATAATATCTCGAAGTTTGTCATTATTTGAAGTTACTTATTTTCATTATCCTAATTGTCACAGCATGTACAAAAGGGTTACCAGGTAAAGGGCACTGTCATATCAGCAGTGTGTTATCAACAATGGAGAATGAGCTAGGGTTGTGCTGTAGAAGCAGCCAGCATGACTCACACCTCTGTCCCCACATAACAACTGTCACTGACACTTCCCATCTGGAGTCACTACAGTCCTGAGCTAGGGAATTACACTCCACTCACTGCTTAAGGCTGGCTGTTACCTGGAACTACATCTACCATCTTAAAGCTGGCAGCAACTTTAGTCATGATGATGCATTCCAAAGACAAGGCTCTCTGGCTCTACTCTAGATTTTTTATCATGTATTTCTTTTCTCTTGTCTCTTGTCAGGATTAAAAAAAAAAGTAAGTGATGCATGTCAGTGAAATTGTGTCTATACTATAGTATAAATAGATACATATCTGAAACAATGTTCGAAAATTTCTGTGTAAATAAAGTGAAATGCTAAAAATTAATTGATAAAAAGCGCATTATAACTTTGGTTTATTTGTTTCACTTGTATTTCTATGTGGATTTACCCACTGAAATAAAACAACTCATATAACCCTATACTCATAACCATAACCCTAATATACATATTTCTTGAATGAACTTGGATTTCTTGAACATACTTAAGTGCTGATATGCTCTTAGGAACATGAAGATATAAAATGGCCAAATATAGGTAAAATATCATCAGTATATCCACTGAAGACATCAGACTCAAACTTTTTGAATATCTAATTTACTAGGTCACTAACCCACTTTCTAGCAAGCAAATCTGGTCAAAGCAATCTTGTCTTGAAGAGACAAGATTTGAGACTCTTGTTTTGAGACTCTTCAATGAGCTTCAAGTGGGCATCACACAATTCAGTACAGACAATGTGTACTTGTAACTGTGTGGAGACTACTCTTCCATAGTTTGTAATAGTCAATATTATAAAAATATTACAATCCCCATAACAACAAAATGGGTTTATTGCAAACAAAACTTTGATCATTTCCTCAAAATGGTTTACAAATTTTAAAAAATATACTTGAAGATTTCAAACATGGTAAGTCACCTCATATTTATGGTGTTCTACAAGGTTTTCCTGCAGCTTTGCTTTTTCTTGCATACGTAGCAACTCATATTCAACAGACATTGTACTTTTCTCCAACATAGCAAGGGAAGCCTTGATCATAAATAGAAAATATAAAAATTTTAAGAGTGTTACTAAAATAATGCATTCTACAATACAATATTACCAGCAAATGACTTGCTGGCACTAGGAAGAGTGACGCAAGTATTTTTCGTGTCAAACAAAAATGATAGTCTATAGTTCATTTGTCAGCTCATCAGAACACTTATATCACCTGATAAAAACCTGCAAACTCTTTCAAAATTGAAATTAATAATTGAGGCAAACTCAGTTTTTTAATTTGAAAGAAAGTTTAACAAACATAAAAGAATTTCTACTTAAGCAATTGTGCAGTTATTGACAGTAAGATAAACAACATCCTGATTAAGCAGATATATCAGCAGACAATCCTGTTGCTAACTTTGCCATAAATTTTCACTGGAAATTTTTCAGTATCTCATTTGTCCTTACTATTATAAATGCATGGCAAACCTTATTCTGCTGGTCTGGGGTCTCTAGACAGACGGTCCAAAGAGAATTAATGTGGTTACTTCATTAGTGTATGAGATACGTAGAGCCATTAAACAATGATTTATAATCTCACCTTTAATTTTTTGTTTTCAAGGCAAATCTTTTCATTTTCAGAGTTAAGAGAATTTAGCTTTCCAAGAATTTCCTCTTCTGAGTTTCTTCTCCATTCCTCCCTTTTTTCCATGTCTTCCATCAGGCCTCTGATCTGCCTTGTTAGACAGGCAAGTTCTCTATAATACAAAATGCTTCCAAAACTCTCACTATGAAAATTAAATTGAACCTTAACACATATATATACTTCATAGTTTATATATATATAATACAATATGCATTCCCCCTTTTATTTATATATATATAAAAGGGGGAATGCATTTATGTATCCAAAGAAAGGATTATCTACTTATATTCTGAAATAAACTCTCTGAAAGAGGAGAGTTTCTACTCCAAGTAAGGTGTCTTAGCTAAATTATAGAACACCAAATGATACTTCCAAGAGAACTATGCTTATGCACACTGTACAAAACGTAATTATATTGAATTTATAGGGTATAATGTCACATAATGTCCTACTAAGAACACTCAACTCCTTAGCTACTTTAGGAATGTTACTTTCCATTATTAAAAGCAGCAAATTATGCTACACCCCATTTTTGCCTTTTTTTTTTTGGTGGATAAAGTTCACAAAATTTGTTTTGCTGTTTAGTCACCACACACTGCTTAATAGAACAAGTCTTGTTAGAATGGCACATTTCAAGCAAAGACTTGCATTTTCAGCTGAAATGAAAACAGCAAAAACCAGCTGGAAGCAGAATGAGTATTTATTCTTTCTTAGATGCCTTCCTATATACACTGGATCAATGTGGGCTAGACAGATTTCTGGACTGATGTCATCTACCTGCCCTCTGGTTAAATTTTAAAATCTACTGCAAGTATTTTCAGAAATGACAGATTTTCTGGGACAAAACCAAAATATTTAAATAATTTTAATGTGAGCTGTTAAATACTTGAGTATGAAGTAAATTCTTTGTGAAATAAACTTTGCCTTGGACCTAGGATAAAGCATCTAACCATTTCTTTTGCTGGTTTAAATTATTGTCCATATTTTGATCAACAAAAATGGTAAAAGGATATTTGTCATTGTCTGCCTAAAAAATAATTTATCCTTCAAGATTAAATCTTAATACATTAAGATTTGACTGCGTAGTTTGAATAAGATTGGATAATTTTGTTCTGCTTTTCCTTACATGAGTGACCTGTTTGAATGGCATCTGAGAGGAATCCTCTATCCTCTACTGAGTTGAGACATTAGTGGAACTGAAATAATTTGGCCATCTCTAGTCTGAAGTAGGACCTAGAAGACAAAGAACCTTCTTCTATTCTGTAAACACAAGGGTTAACACTCAAGCTGTTGAATCAGTTATTAAATAGGTGGTTATGTGGAGGCCACATAGGAGCTGCCAGCAAGTTCAGGCTGATCAGAAGTATGCAGGAAAAAGAATATGTTCCTTACTGGTAAAGGGGAATAAAGCTTCAAAAGAAGTGAAATGCAACAGAGAGGAGGCTAAAAATCTTAAACTTGTTCTTATTTCCAACTTCCAAATTCTGCTCAGAATTTTAAAATATTAATAAACCCATTTACATTATCAACAATGAGTATTGCACTACTAAATATCAACACCCTGTGACCACAGAAATAAATAAACAAAAAAGACCAACAGTCCAACTTACTTCTCAAGAGCTTCAATTTTAACTTCTAGCATTGTCTTTTCTTCAACTATTCTATCGTGCTGGTTTTTCCAGACATCAGCGGCTGACAGTATCTCATGCAGTTTGGCTTCCTAGAGAATGCAGAAATTATAAATTATGTAACAAAAGAATGCCACTGAAGAATGCCATATAATTCTACAAGTTTTTAGATAATAGAGATATTTAATATAAGATAGTTTTATTAGATCTCTCTTGTACAAATCAATAGAAATTTTCTATCCTCTCAAAATAAAATCAACAAAATTACCCATATTTTTAAAAAAACCAAAGTCTATGAATAGATTATTTCAAGGCAGAGACATAGTTAAAACACTGGTACTGTATATCAACTGTAGAATACAACATTTCAAAATTTAAGATGGCAATCTTTTCTTACAAAAAAAATTGTCTTCAATACATCTCAACTACATATAAATTATATAAATTAATAAATAAATAAAATTGTGGCAAAATATTTTACGTATAAAAACAACTAGCTAGGTAAGAAATGAAACATTAGGTAAAATCCCTTAAATGAATATAGATAATTATCCAATACATGATATCTTGAAAGTACACCAGGATTTCAATGAGGAAGAATACAAGTGTGACTACAAAAAGTCAGAAGTTCAGGAGGTAGTTGCTGTCCCTCTGTACTGCTAATTTTTGTTAAAGACCCACTACTGTCTTCTCAAAAAAATCCAAGAATACAAAAACTATTATTAATCATCTCCTGGAACACTACATGGAAAAATATATCTTTAATACTGACATACCCAAAATTATTACAACACATCTAAGAGTATGAAAACATATTCTTCTTAGGAAATCCAAATAGGTCAATAAACACAGTTCTGATGCACCTGGCCTTTTTGAACAATTAGAAACTATTGATAGGCAAAGCAAGATTCCAAGGAACAACTTGAATTAAAGAAGTTTTATGCTTGGACTTTGAAAAGGCTCAGAGCAAGCAGCTTAGAAACAAAAAACTAAGTAACCACATGAGACATCATATATTAATAAATAAAGAAAACTAATACTTCAGACCTCAGTCATGGATTCTCAATACACTGTATTTCTGACTTAAGTCAGTGCTTATCCATAGAGGATTAACAGGAAGACCAGGAGAGGTTTAACCATAAACTGATGAGACTCCTCTTATTTTCTACAGCTTAAAATGTTCAACCTCTTGACTTAAGTCAACCACTAAATTTAAAAAAAACAAAAGCAGTTAATAGTAATGGCTTTCAGGACACCTACAGCAACATTTTCCTTAAGAAATGAGCAACAACATAAAAGACATACAAGCAGACAATAACCAAACAAATTTTTCTATTTTCCACAGGTGAAAGTCTCTTAGTTGTTCAATTTCAAACAATACAACACAACATTGCTCACAGCATAGTCACTTACATGTTCTTTTATTTTAGAGGTTACATCTTTCACAGCTTCTTCTAAGTGTTGAGCTCTTTGTTTCTGGAACCTTTTTGCTTTTTCCAGAGCTATCTTCTTTTGCTCACTTCTTTCCTTTAAGGCTAACTTCTGGCCTTTGTATTCAACAATTTGATGTTTCCACTCTGCTATTTTATTTTCTAGAGTCTGCAACATAATCAAAATCAACTCTTCAAATTCCAAGCCTTACAGATAATTTTGTGCTATAAAATAATTAGGAAGAGCTGTTACATTTATAACATCTGTTTCCATATAATCTTGGTATCTCAAATCTTGTGGTTGATACAAGGAGCCAGCTAAGTACAACAGTTGACAAAAATGCAGAGAGAATTTCTTCAACTGTCAGCATAAGTAAACAGCTGCTCTGCCCTATTATAACCACAGGAGGTCAGGATCACACTAAGAATAAATGCTTCGGGCATTAGTGGCTGAGGTAAATTCGAATTGAGAACGAATTTCATAGTGGCAATGCTAAGCTTTTTCTAGCTTTTGTCTAGCTATTAACAAAAATTATCTCCAGGATTTCAGCTAGCAAACGACTTCACCAATTTCTGAAAGTGAACAAAACTTTTAAATAGAGATTGAATGACAGAACAATTGCCTATCATTATTTTATCTAATGAAAATGCTGTTGGAATTCTATAATTGTACTAGGTAGAACAAGAAAGCAATTTTTATTTAGAAGAAAACATGAGGCATTTATGCAGACATAGCCATGTGATTTGAAATTACCTTGATACAGGTTGGGTAACAATCTCTAATTATTCAATTAGCAGGGGATGTATGCTAGTAAAAATGTTTAGAAAGTAGAAATACATTGTTTTCAGCCAATGTTTTCTCACTTATGCCTATGTTCTTGACAAGTTTCATATACTGTATTCTGAGGCCACATACAGCTCCAGCCTTTCACACATGACCTCCTCCTTACCTTTTTCTAAAGCCAGTAACTGATTCAAATGCCCAAATTTAACTTGTGCTTTTTAGAACAGAAAATGGAAATAATTTAACCTACTTTAAACAAAGTGAGATTAGGGATTAGTCCTAAGTGTTTCACTTTCAGTCAGTATTAAGAGGCTTATTGATTCTTTACAGACAATAAGAAGAAAAAGGCTGTGGCTGTCACTGCTCTCCTAGAACAGGAAGTCACCATAGGGCTTGCTTGTCTCTTGACCATATGGAGACTTTCTTCTAGACAGCGCAGTTAAGTGAGTGCAAACACGTCTATGCACGTTTCACTTTGCTCCACCAGAACTGTACAAGTGTGCATAAGTTGAGAAAAGAAGAAAAAAACCCCAAGAAACAACCTTGCCATTCAAATAGTGTGTTCAGGCAGATCTTGCAAAACATAAATACTTATGATTTTATCAGGGATTTTTTTCTACCAATAATTTAATTTCAAAACAGGTCACAGCAATGCTTTGGTTTTTTTTGTTTTTTCAATAAACGGAAATACAAGTAAAAACATTTTGACCTGTATTTTCACTTTTAATTCATAATTTTCTGCTTCTTTTCTTTCAATCTGACGCTGCAGGTGAGCTTGTACTTCCTTTACTGATCTTGACAGGTAGTCCCCTTTCTGTACCTTGATCTAGGAAAGATGAACATAAATTTATTGGACTATGCTGTATGATGCTCTCTGTATTTTTTCTACTATGCCATAGTTTCTAACTGACATTTGAATGTCCTCAAAACCTGGAAAAGATAAAACATGCTCTACAAGTATATTCACAAGCAGTAACTTGCAACTAACTGTATTAATGTCAAACAGAAATCACCAACTTGAAACAATTTATGTATAATTTTACGTATAATATTTAATCTGAATTTAAGTAGCAGGAATAAGGTCTGGAAGCATGAATTCAGACATCCAGGTTAAGGAAAGGCATCCAGCTAGCAGGATGACTAACACTAAGCCACACTGATCGGCTGTGCTCTGACTAATTAAACCTGAACTGACCTTCATTAAATTCCAAAGACCACCAACTCCTATTAGAACTATGGATGCATTTAATTCAAACTCCAATTTTGGGGGATGTGTAAATCATAAGAGAAGAGGAAATTTATGTCACCAGCACTCAGGTCAGATGATTCTATGAAATTTCTTTCAATTTGATTCCTTTGGCTCATTCTAAGTAAGAAGTAATAAGGTAGATAAGTATCATATTATCAGCATAGACTGCAAGAGCCTACAAGAATGTACCAGTGGAAGTGTTCATTATAGACACCAGTAAGAAAGGCAGATTCAGTCAAGTGTTGATGAAAATGCCATGTATTTAAATTAATATAAGAAGGAACAAGGGGATACCATAGACAATTATTTATCCTTTCAGATGCTAAGCACCCTAAATTGTTCAACATTAGGTAGTCTCCAGTCAGGGCATGGTATGCCACATACATCCCACCAACAGTGAGGTCTGCTGGCATTGGGGTGTTCAGAATTTTGATAGGCTTTTCTGTTCAGCATTTCTATTCTCAAGCAAAAAGATGTTTCCATGAAAATGTACTCCTTCACTTCAAGATAAAGACAAGGACATGACAAGAGCCTCCAAAGACTCCTCTATTATGACCAGCTGGTTAAGTTTACTGAGCAGCCAAGTGATACGTTCATTTGGTTAAGCAAAAAAAAAAAGTCTTAAAGAAGAACCATGGCTCTTAAAAACCTGCAAGGAGTTACAAATATCATAGTACACTGCTGTCCTCTGAAAGGTTTAACTGAGCCTACACTGTCCTCACTAATATTGAACCATGCTGCATGGCACACACACAAAGGGCCCTGGAGGTATTCAATCTGTAACAAGGTTGCCAAACTACCAGTAAAATAACTTTCAAACTTTGACAGTACCCTCTTATACAGGACAATTCTTCCCTTTGGACAATTCTTCAGTGTTGGTTTTTGCACTGAGCCCTTCTTTTTGGTGCAAAGAATGAATGAGCTCTCGCCAGACTTGTCAGCCTTTGATGATATTAGCTCTGTTGTCTGTACTACCTTTCCTAAAAGAGCCATGGAAACCAACTGAACAGTAGCTGTTTAACTTACTCCATATTATTCCTTATGAGTACTTTTCCCCCAGCCCCAGAATATTGCAAATCAGTAAATGAGAAGTCAAAAGCTACACTGGGATATTAGTGTTAAGAATAACTGTATCCTTAGTTGGTTTGAATGCAGTTCTGATGGTTTTAAGATAATTCTGTAGGAAACACCTTTCAGGATTTTACTTTTTTATATGTCTTTGATAATTATTTTACTCAAAATTTATATATTTTTAATTGGGAATTTAGTATGTTGGAAGAAAATATTCATTCTAATGGAACTGGTCACTCACTTTTTCACACTGGAGCATGGATGAAAGTTCTTTAATCTGTTTCTCCCTTTCAAGTATTTTTTTCCTGAGATTCTTCATAGAAAAAAAAAAAAGAAATTATTTTAATTACTGTATACAACAAAGTATCAGAAATGGATAGTGATGAATATTTCAGTTGTTAAACTAAGATTCAATTTTGTGATTATAAACCACAAATACTCCCACTTTGACACTCTTAGTGGAAATTGTATGACTCTGTAAGGTAGCCAATTTCAGATATTCAGCACAGAACATAGCAAATCAAATTTTAATTTACTTACAGTATTCTGAATTTCACTTTCAATTAGCTCCTGCATCCAAGTGTCAATGTTTTTACTGTTTAACTGTAACACAGGAAATATTAAAATTTTCTTCTGATTATAACTGATTTTGTATTTTTCAATGTTTTTTAATTAGTTACATATAATTTGCTACATTTTTAAACCCGGTACGTGTAACTAGAAAAGCTCACATATTCACAAGCTACTTGGTGGTTATAACCTAAAGATTCAATTTATTTTGTGCATGGAACTTTGTACCTGAAGAAACAAACCAGGGTTATTCCACACATCTATTTATTTCTTTATTTTATCTAGAAGGGCTCTAAATACCATAGGTAAGTGTTATTTTACTTGATGTTCTAGACTGTCAGATTCTTTGCTCAGCTCAGTAAAATACTTCCCATTTTGGATGGCTTTTGTAGTTCTGTGACAATCCTTTTTATCTGGCTATGTCAGTGAACACAGTTTTCCTGTTTCTCCAGGTGGCACATTATTTCCCTGAAAGAGCATTCATAATTATGTAACATTTAGTTTCACTCTCAGGTCACTGATATTGCTAATTCAAGGATATCAACATAAAACAAGTCAGCTCCTCCAGCGAATCCTTTAAGAAAAAGTTTAAAGATCAAAGAATCATTTAGGACTTTCAACAAGGATAAAAGCCTGTCATATTACAGGATGTACCCTCAAACAGTTTGCTCACAGAACACACCTAATCCACAAGGCAAAGGCAGAATACCTCCAGTGAAGATGAAGGCCAAGACCTGCTCAGATTTCAATGTTGCTGTTTTTCACAGCAGACTTCTTCCAATTTGGAGGCAGCAACGGCTTTCCTCTTTTCCCAATTTGTTAAAGCTTCTCATCAGGCTCAGCTGCTCAAGAAAATGATGCTGCCCATGCCATGGCAAGTCCAGAGCCATATCAGACCTAAAACCTAAATGAATCGCATTCCCCACCTCCTGATGACAGCAACCTGTCATCACCCTCACCCCTTCTCTAAACACCTCTCTCCTGCCTCTATTCTAGCACTCCAGAATGATTAATGCTTTCACCAAGCACAGAGTTATCTGTTTACTCCACCCAATGCTCCACTGACTACTCATTACTTTTTCAGAAGTGGATTGTGTTGACTTCTCCACTCACCAGGACCCATTTCTGCTGTGCTTAGCCTGTGCAAGGTGCATCTCCATCAAAAGGATTTTTCAGACTAAGAGTTTCAGTTTTTATATCCATATTGCCCTTCATATAATTGAGAAAATGAATAACAAATCTGGGGAGTTCCCATCTTAAATAATCACTTCCTCACAGAATCAGAATGCAGACTGCTCTGTTTCCAATTGTTGTCTTAAGGCAAATAAGTACAATCAAACATCTAAGGTTTTTTATTTTATATATGTGTATGTGTGTGTGTCTTTTTTTATTACAGGATTAGATTTTCTGGCAGACCTCAGCTTGTATAACACAATGCAACTCAGTGTAGCTTTTTCCTGGATATACAACCAAAAACCAAGTTTGTGAATTTAATTACTTCCAGTGAAAACAGCACCTTGGAAGATTAAACACCATGATTCATTTATCATAGCCAATTGATGTAAGGATAAATAACAAAGAAGAATTTTGCCATAGTTTCAGTATACTGTTGCCATGTCCTGCACTGTCACTTAGCCATTTTTTGAAATATCACCTACTTCACATCTATAACTAGGAAGTATATTTTTAACCATGTTAACAAAACAAATACAATTTAAAATATCAAGCCTAACAAGAACAGAATGAACTTGCCTCAACAGTGTGAAGAATAAACTTTTCCTGAAGATCAAAGTCCAACGAAGGAGCAGTACAGTCATGTACAGGTAAAGACAAGGATGCTTTTGATGATGATGACATTTTGATTTAATGCTGTATAACAAGACAATATATGTTAGCATATATTGGGGTTCAACGACAGTGGGACTACTGGACTGGACCAAGTAAACCCCAATCACAGCAGAGATGTAACACAGCTAATGCACCTGAACTCTTCCACAAGAATTCACAATTTGCAATTGCTCAGCACTGAATTCACAAACACGGTGTGCAGAAAGCAAATCCTTCCACAGTTTTCCGGCAGAAAACTGAACACACTCGAAGGACAAAGTAAAGCTCGCAACTGCTATTTCCCACTTCCACTCTCCCCAGCACAGAGTGGCAGGCTCAGGGGCACGGGTCGCTCAACGCCAGCCCTCGCCCGGGCCCACTCGGGCTCTCACCTCGCCCAAGAACCCCGCGCCGCTGCCGGCGGCTCGCGCCCCTGGGCGTCCTGCGAGCCGCCCCCAGCACCCGTCCTGAGGGGCAGGGTCCCCCCAGCACCCGTCCTGCGGGCCAGGGTCCCCTCAGCACCCGTCCTGCGGGGCAGGGTCCCCCCAGCACCCGTCCTGCGGGGCAGGGTCCCCTCAGCACCCGTCCTGCGGGGCAGTGTCCCCTCAGCACCCGTCCTGCGGGGCAGGGTCCCCTCAGCACCCGTCCTGCGGGGCAGTGTCCCCTCAGCACCCGTCCTGCGGGGCACTGTCCCCTCAGCACCCGTCCTGCGGGGCACTGTCCCCTCAGCACCCGTCCAGTGGAGCACTGTCCCCTCAGCACCCGTCCTGCGGGGCAGGGTCCCCTCAGCACCCGTCCTGCGGGGCACTGTCCCCTCAGCACCCGTCCTGCGGGGCAGGGTCCCCTCAGCACCCGTCCAGTGGAGCACTGTCCCCTCAGTACCCGTCCTGCAGGGCAGGGTCCCCTCAGCACCCGTCCTGCGGGGCACTGTCCCCTCAGCACCCGTCCTGCAGGGCACTGTCCCCTCAGCACCCGTCCAGTGGAGCACTGTCCCCCCAGCACCCGTCCTGCGGGGCACTGTCCCCTCAGCAGCCGTCCTGCGGGGCACTGTCCCCTCAGCACCCTCCCGCGGGTCCGCACCTGCGCCCGCCGCCCCTCGCCGCCGGGAGCCGTTGCCGGAGCAACGCGCCGTTGTCGCTGCCGGCGGCGCAGCCGTTGCGGGTGCCGGTGGCTCTGACGGTGTCTGCCGGTGCCGGTGGCTCTGACGGTGCCGGTGCCGGTGGCTCTGCCGGTGCCGGTGGCTCTGCCGGTGCCGTGCCGGCCCCTCTCGCGGCGGGGGAAGGCGGTGGTGCCGTCCCCGGGCCGGCCTTGCCCCTGTCCCGGGAGGACGAGGGGCGCGCGGGTGGGATGCAAAGGCGCCTCAGGGGGCGGCCGTGCCCCTTTCTCGCCGGGACGTGCCCGGCGCACCCAGGAGGTTACTGCCAGACCCAGATGGACAAGAGACGGTTACTGCCAGACCCAGATGGACAAGAGACCGGGAGACCTCTGGGGAGCTCTAGATTCTCCAGATGATTGTTTTCTAGGTGTTTCCATTAATTTTAATTTTATTTTTGAGGTTATACACGAAGTATTCATGTACCCTGACTGTGTGTGACGTTGTTTTGGCAATACATTGTCAAACACTGTAGAGAAGCCACATATTTTTAAACAACCACATTCATATGAGGTGGCAATTCATAAAATATCATAGACACCGCAACAGATGTGTGGAAAGCTCTTTCAAATAATAAATTGTGCAAAACTGACTGATCATGTGATACAAACATCATTTTTAGAGGTGCAAAGGTAAATATGTACATAGACATATATACATGATTTTAATTTGTACATTTTGTTTAAAAAATCGTACTGATAGAAACGTTACTTTTTATTATTCTAAGTAATAGCAGAGTCAGCAATGTATATTAAAAATAAGCTTGACAGAAATAATCAAAATAAAAATCAAACATGTCCTTTGGCATCCTTTGTAAACATGCCAGTGTGTATTTTCTTCTATTGCTGGCAATGGAATTTCAGAAAGCAGCTACTCACTCCATATACTCTTTGGAAAATATTACCTAGCCATGTGTGCCTGGTAATAAAAATTAAATGCTAAATTTCAACCTTTTAAATTCAAGTAGACATAAAATCCCCTTCATTATCATTATCGGGAGTGAGTGTGTGATTGTACCTGAATTCCATAGGAGATTTTATCTTTGCATGTGCAAAAGGCCAAAGGCTTTGTTCTCTATAGGACCCACAGCCTGGAACTGAGAATTCACCATCTCTGACAGAGCTTTTATTTAGCATCACTGTTACGAGCTGTGACTTTGGCACCCCATAGTCAGTACCTTAGACAAAATCCTTAATTTTAGCTGCCCAGGACTTGCTATAAGATTGGCTTATTTTAAAAAGAAAGCAATAAGTTTTTGCAATTTTCTAAAAATCTGGTCATGGTTTATAAAATACCACAAACACTATCCAGCAGTGACAGCTAATTAGCATGGTAATTAGCATTGCACTCTGTACCTCCTAAACAAAGAATGAATTACAAGTTTCAGTCCTCAAAACCACATTTTAATGACAGTGGCACAATCCACAGAGTAGAAAATAATTAAAGTAAATAGGACACACAGCTCCACAATGACATAATTACACGCCTTATTAAAAGAGATGTGCTTCAGAGAAGCTTCTTTAGATACCACAAGAACACTGCTGCGTGTTTGTCAGAGCTCATGACTTCATCTGCTCTAAAGGTATAATCGAACCTTTCATTTCCATGTCAGAAATTCATTACTCCAGTGTGTTTCTTTGTTCAGTGGTTAATTTTGGCAATAGTCTGCTATTGCAAAAGCTGCAGATTTGCTGTGATCCTGTTAATACACTGTTCTTCCCCCATCCTTGTATGCACTGCTTGGTGCAGTACTGACCAGATTTGATTTCTCCAGCAAGCCTTAGACACTCGCTGCCTCACACAGAAGTGGATATCCAGCAGAGTACTGGTGTTCAGATCTAAAATTTCACTTTCCCAAGCAATAATCAATGTTGTAATTTCTGTTCATATCAAAGCCTGAATAGACGTCACATATTAGAGTAGAAAGACTCCTTTGGAGAAAAAAGTACTCGCTACTCTGGGACACCCAGTCCTATCTGCCTAGCAAACAGAGCTGCAGTAGTCTATTGTACGGAGGCACTGACATCTAGTGGGCTCCAACTACATTTCCAGTTTTTCCAAATGTTCCAAAAAATCTGTCAGAGCATCTCTTTTTGAGAGGCCATGACCTTGATATTAATGCATATTTAAAAGTACAATCAAATAATTTGGAGGTTGAATTTATTAATTAAGGCTGACTAACTGTAGTAGCAAGAGGAAGATTTGTTTTAATTAGCAGCTCATGCTCACTGAGCTCTGTCTGTAAAAGCTTTGAAGACGTCAGTTCAACTAACACAGGATCAAGCATTTCCCCAAACACCTCTGCAAAAGACAGAAAAAAAGAAAAGGTTTGCTCTGTCATGCTTTCTGACAAGCAGGTGTAAAATGACAGGGTAAGGCTTTTGAAATCCATTTTTATGTTTATATGTGTATATATATATATATATATATATATATATGTATGTATATATGTATATATGTATGTATGTGTATATACATGTGTGTATATATATGTGTATATATGTATGTTCAAAAGCTATGTGGGCTGCAGTCCCAGTTGCCAACACAACTGCCACATGCCAGCCCAAGCTACCAAGAAAATATGTGGTAATTGATGTCAAAACCATAAAAACTGTGTTCTCAATATGGTCTTTCCAATGCTCTTAAAATAATTTCAGCTTCCAGATTCCTACATGGATTTCATTATGTTCCATGAAGAAGGTAAATTTAATTATTTCTATGCCACATGTGGAGAAACTGTAGTACCATGTGATGAAACAACTTTCTCACAGTCACTATTAGCAGAGTGGTAAAGCTGCAAATATACCTCCAGTTATTAAACTATCATTGCATAGTAAAAGCAAGAAGACTGAAAATTTTATTTCTATTTCCACAGGGGCCATTTCTTCCCAAGTATAAGATAGGCAACTTCTTCTAAGATAGACAGCTGGGGTGTGGGGCTAAATTATTATCCTTCCTGCTCCAGGAAAGGACAAAGACTATGAAAACAACATATGCTATACCTTGTCCAGTTCCCTGAAATATCAGGACTTTTGCCTACTGAATGTTTTGCCAGTTGCTGCATGCAATCCTAGTACAACTCCAGTTTGAGTGTTTAGGGGAAGCACAGCAACAGCTGCCACAAGGACCACTGAAAGGGTGCAGTAATGTGCAAAGGAGCATTAATTCTCCCTCAGATCGCTGCAGCTTCTGAGAGGAAGTGTGCTGTTGAGAACAGCTGCTTTGTGGCTCTGTCAAATCCAGTCCCCACATTTTTCATGAAAGCCTGATTGTACACAGGCCAGGCAGCTGGCATTACTGATTTTATAATCTTTGCCTTGTTATTATCAAGCTAAGTTTACAGTTGTTAATGTTGGCAAAGAATCTATAGACTCACACACAAACAAATGCCCTTACCTATTTTAGTAAAACAAGTTTTGATTATTAAGTAGATATTCTGCTCCTTTTATTTTTATATGTCTTTTCAATACATCAATATACACATTTATCTGGAAAATCTGGTTCTAGGATTGCTATTATTCTTCAAAGTATTAGCTGGAGTTCTGCAAGGTTGTGGCTGATGCCACTTGTGACTTTGTCAGACCTCTTGATTTCCCACTGCTAAACTGCATTAAATAATTACATAAATATGTTAAGTATTAATAAAAATATATCATGCAAATATATGCTTCAGTTACATAATCATGAGTGGGAAGAGAAGTGGTGTATATACACGCAGTGACACAAGACATGACCTTCAGTGTATTACAGAATTAAATAGGTATGAATTCCAACATGGCCACTACATTACTGGGATTAGATGTGGTACCAGAGTGTGTTTGTTTAATTTACAGCTTTTTCACAGGATATAAACTGACTTATGAAGGCATTTCTGGGATTGTATTTTTCAAATCTTTGACTTCAAAGTCTTTGGTGTAACCACTACCTTCCCATACTATCAGAAAGCAGTACTGGAAGTCATCTGAGAATCATTTCTGTTATAAGCTATTACTCTTTACATCAAAATATTTTAATTATACTATAAACCTTTATATTAATATAATTTTGGTTGGTAGTTGGTTGGTTGGTTTGGGTTTTCTGTGTGAATTCTATTTCTACTTATAGGAAGGGATGTTTCAGGGTCCATTTACATCCAGCAGCAAAATGCTATGAAAGGTTATTTCTTCTTTTTTGTTATGTTACAAGAAAGGCTGAAGATCAGACAGTAGGCAAAGTTATGTTGTTCACCATACCTCCTGGTACAGTGGTCACCCACCTCTGAATTCTCAGACTGTGCACATGGCAGGCTTTAATTTCTTTTTCAGCCTGAGACAATTCTTCAGCCTGACAATCTTATGTCTCCAGCACTTTTACAAGTGACCTTCCCAGCTGTCTACCCCATACTTAGGAACTGTTTGATAGTGTTCCTCCAGCACAGCTCCTCCGCCCTTGCAACTGATTGTCTCAGAAAGCATTGGTTTATATCCCTACATGCTGTGCACACTTTAAATTCACCTTCAGCACTCCATATGTCAGTATCTGGCTTGTAACTAAACTTGTGTGCTAAGGTATGGCTTTCCTTACCTGAGCCAGATATTTCAGCTTATCCCAAACCCAAGTCCCTGAAAGTGCTTTTGTGTCTGAAGAGTACTTGTAGAGAGGGACCTAATTACCTACTAGAACCAGGTATTGACGCTTCCAGTAAAAACAGGGCAGACAGCCTGCATGTGGAAATTTCTCAAAATGACAAAAGCAATCTCCAAAATAAGGCTGTTAACACCTTCTAGAATGACAAAAAAAATTCCAGTTTGCCCTGAACAGTATGTAATAGGACTACAACATACAAAGAAAGAGAATTACAAGTAAGGGAGAAACACAGTAATGTTTTAAGAATAGTAGAATACTGTGGAATTCCAAAAGCATTGAGTTCCAGTTGTGATCCATTAAATGAATTTATTTATATATTAAATACAAAATGGGATAAAATTATCTGGACTAGAGTTTTTATGAAATATATAATCATGCAGTATAACAGATCTTTCTCTTGAATAAGTGTAGTAATCACTAGCTGAAGATTTTTTTCCCTCTCACATTCTGAGTGCTTAACATTCATAAAAAGGGGAAGGATGTTAAAAGTGAGAACTGAAACACCAGATCCAGTGCCAAGCAACCCATCTGCTAGTGGTGGAAATACTTGCTACTTCAGGCATTTTCCTAAGAAGTAGTACCACTCTGTTTGGGTTGCCTTAGGAAAGCAGCAACTACAAGTAGGTTTTCCAAAACCTACAAGATCAGTCTAACCCATGGGGGCTTAAAGGATGGGAGTTTTGTTCCTCTTCCAGCCAGGCATTTTCTGAAGGAAAACCAATACCAAGGACATCAGACAATGTAACAAAATGCAGCACTTTCCTCTCTGGCAGGTGAGGCTCACATGTCATGGGCGGCAGCAGGCTGCAAGTTTTAGGGAAGAACTAGCAGCATGCTGATTTGGGAAGAGCTAGAATGACTTGATGGCTCTTCATTCCACCCTGAAAATACCACACATGCAGGGCTTTACTGGGGTACACTGCAGCTGAGCTGGTGCTTCTGCTACAAGCTCAGGCACCACTGCTTCAGTTGTTTGGTATTTCTTTTTTGTGGAAATTCATCAACGTGAACTGCTGGAACTTAGTGCCAATGGAAGTTATGAAGTGAAATAATTGCATCTGTAGATGCAAATTTAAAATTTTTGATGTTGATGTCTTTTAACATAAGCTAAATTGATATCACAAAGAATGTAACCAGCACTTACATGATTGCAATCAGCTTTCATCAGGTCATATAGTACTGGGCCTTGAAAGAGAGACTCCTGGGACTTCTATATACCAGCAACATTAATTTTAGGAAATGGAAACAAACTTGCCATATAGCTTTTATATGCAAACATTTATACCCATGTATAAGCAAGACAATACAAGCTGAAAAAGTAAAATTATTCAAGAAAAGGAAACACACACAATAGTTTTCAGGCCCTTTTCTTAGCAGGATACTTTTCTCCTAGAATAATACAATTCCTGGTACAATAGGAACTTTACACAGCCTGGGTTTTGTTTTGGTTTTAATTCCTGGAATCTGACCAGCATGTAAGCAAGATTGCTTTGATTGTTAGTTATTTCCCTTCTCTGGAATTCACCTCTTGTCATAATGCCTTAGGATTTCCTCTGACTTTATCAAATTCAGCCACACATTACTTACTATTTGGATGATGAAATAAATTACTTAACTGAACAACCAGGATAATTTTCAAGCTGGGTATATTAAGTTGCTGCCAATGATGCCATAATGTAAATGTTTTCTTATTCCTGGCCATCTCAAATGTCCTTTCTTCTAGAACATTCAATCATCATGATGAGAGATGTTAAAATAATGGGAATTATTAAATGTGATTTAGTAATTTTTGATTTGCTTGATTACTGCTATTGAGTTTTGCTACTGCACTCAAGGTTTTCAAAACCTCTGTGATGTTTTGGTGCTAATGCCTAGTTGCATCTCAGTACATGTTTATCCAAAATCTTTTAATAAACACTTTCTTTCTTAAAGACTTCTTAAAAATTCATCCCCAGCTTACATTTTGACAGTTTATCCGAAAGCTGTTTTTCGTGAAGACAAGGTTTGACTTACTAAACTCAGGACACAAGGAAAGGGAACGGAGGTGAGACCTGTCCTCCCGGAGCCGGGTCGGAGGGGTCCAGCCCCCGGGACAGGCCGGTCCCCGCGAGCGGCGGGATGTGCACGCTTGGGACGCGGGCGGACGTGCCCGGGTTAACTCCGCCCGCCTTGTAGCGAGTGACGGCAAAGGCCGCGGCCGGCACCCAGAGTCTCCCTCGCCCAGGCCTGGCGGGCAGGCTGGCCCGGCCGCGAAGAGCCGCAGCCCTGGGGCCGCCGATAACGCTCGGGGCTAGCCGGCATGAAATTTCTGCCGGGCGCCGCGGGCAGCCCCGCCGTCCCACCCCTCCGCCGCACCCGCACGCCAGCGGGGGCGCCGGGGCTGGGGCGGGGCGGCGCGGGGCCGGGCGGAGCCGCGCAGGAAGGCGGCCGAGGCGGAGCGCGGCCGGGCAGTCTGGGGCCAGGGCGGGGCGGCCGCCGGCGCCGCTCACCCGGCCGATCCGGGCCCTGGGCTGACGCCACGGCCCCGCCAATCCGCTGCGGCCGGGCCGGGCCCGGCACCGCCCCCGGCGGCTCCCACAGGGACGGGCCGGAGCGGCCGCCGCCGCCGCGGGTGCGCGGGCTGAGTCAGCGCCCCCGCCCAAGATGAACATCATGGATTTCAATGTGAAGAAGCTGGCGGCTGACGCGGGCACCTTCCTGAGCCGCGCCGTGCAGGTACGGACCGCCTCCCCTGCCGGGCCCTCGCCGGGCCGCGGTTCTGCCGGGGCGGGCCCGTCTGGGGACGCCCGAGCCGCGGTGGAAGCCGCGGTGGCTCCGCCGGGCCGCCGCCGCCGCCGGGCCCGGTGCGGGGCGCTGGCCGGGGCGCTCGGCCCCGCCCCGGGGGCCGGGAGGGGCCGGGCCCGCCGCGGGCTCCCGGCTCGGGGGGAGGCCGGGCCCGGCCGTGCTGGCGGGGACGAGGCCGGAGCAGCGGCCGGGCCGGGCGGCGATGGGCTGCTGCGAGAGGTCTCCTCCAGCCGGCCCCTTCGGCCGCGGGCTGGGCGTTCGCCAGGCCGGCTGCACGGCAGCAGCCTCGGGGGCTGCCGGGGCCGAGACAGGCCAAGGTCAGACGGGCAAAGAGGGGCGAGGGCGCCAGCGCTGGGAGCACGAGATGCGCGGGCATCAGCTGCCGGAGATACGGCCGGACTTTGGGCATGCCAAGGACAAAGGTGTGTCTCGCCTGAAATAAACACCTGGGGTTTACTGCCTGCTAAAAACGTGTTCATATCGCTGCCTGATCGGTGAAAGTCGAGCTCTGATGCGATATGAAAGTCCAGTATGTGTCTGCTTAGGCTGTTCGATTTGTTTTACCTTTAGTATGGTTTTTAAGCTTCTTTGCTAGCCCATTGTTTCCGATTTGGTTTTCCCCTTTCTTCGCAGTGACGGCACTGTAACTGTCTTTTGTTCCTTAGCTCTTGTCTTGAGAGACGTAATCCCCTTTCCTTATATTATCAAACTTGAACAGATTTGCTGTATGGAGATGGGCATCCAAACAGTATATAATAATCCACTACGGTTTCTTACGAGTTCTCACTGGGTCACAGTCAGGTTTGGAATGTGATGTGTTGTTGTCTGGTCTGGTCAGTCTGATGTATTGCCCTAAATCTCAATATTCAAGCAGAACCAATGATTAGCAGCACAACAGAGCTCTGAAAATGCGAACTCGTCAAAACATATCGTTCAAATTTAAATGACGTTAAAGCAGTCATTATTACTTCTCTTTGTGATGGAAGTATTTCCATGCTTCCCCCAATGCTCCTGTCTTCTTCCCTATCTGCCTGCTTCCCAGACTGACTTTCTTTCCTGTCTCCACTTTCTCTTTCTTGTTGGACAAGGGAAAAAAAGGAGATGCAGTTTTATCCCTCCTTGTAAGATCTTGTGATGTGTGATGGGACCTTGTGATTTCATTTAACTGTATATGTGAAATCTAATACTGTGGTCTTAACTTAGCAATCTTCACACTGGTGACAGGATTTATGGAAATACTAATAATTTTATATACAAATATTTTTCTCTGTAATTAGTAAAAAAATTAATCCCAGATCTATTTTTACTGTATTGTAAAGAATCTGTACAAAGTTTTTGAGACCACCTGGCATAGTTTAAAAAGCCTTTAAACGGCAATAGTACATCCATGAATAAATTCCCTTCTTCCCTGTACAACAGCTGAACTTTCTCTTTACTGCAGTTTGCTTTTATGTAGAACTGTAAATGCCTGAAGCATTTATCAAGATGTGCATGCTATCAAGGTTGGTTAACCTACATGTGACAGAAATTAAAACAAACTTGGGCAATGCAATTTACTTCTATTGTATTCTGTTTCTTACTGGACACCAGAGAACTTGTTAATAATTGAATTGGACAGTCAGAATGCTTCCAGTCCAGTTTAGTTCCTAATTGGTAAATTTGTTAGGAACTGAATCACAAGCCGGATTCTCCTGAGAATGCCTGACTGAACAGAGGGCTGTCAAGGGATGGGATCATCCTTGTGAGGAGCTGCTGCTCTGAAGGGAGCAGGCAAAGCCCTCGCTTCCGGCTTTGCTCGCTTCCCTGTTGTGAAATGTGTAGCTTCTCCCTGGCTGGGATTGAAAAACAAACTGCTTGTGGATTAGTAAGATTTGGCATGAATTTTGTATCAAATGAAATTAATTGTCTGATGGATTTATTTAGCTAAATTAAGTTATATTGTATTTCATGGTCACTAAAATCACAGCTTGGACAAGAACTGCAGAGGTGATCTTACTGTTTCTGTAAGGCATAATAGGACATCTAAAGAGTTTATCAGACAGTGGTTTATCCTGTTCTAAAAAGCAACATACTCCCCACTGCCAAAAATATATATTTCACAACTTCCCAAGAAAGTTTGTTTTAGCTTTTAATCCTTGTCTTTAGAAGCTTTCCTTAATGTCTAATTATAATTTAAATCTTCTTACTGAAGTTTAAACTCCCTATTTTTGTCCTGTTTCCTCTGGCCAGGATATTTTTTCCAATACATTCAAAGCAACTGTGATTGGAATCTGTTTTGCCTTCAGGTTTATACAAGGGTAATTGAGGCATTCTTTTAATTTTCTTTATTACCTCTGGACTTTCATTTCAGTTAGTTTTAAAGAACTTTGCAGAATTGGACAAACCTCTTCACATGAGAATTCTCAGATTACCTGTTGCATCTTTGTCTGCCCCCATTTTTACCTGATAGTATGGATGTGTTGGTGAATTTAATAATTTTTAAATTTGTCCTTAGATTTTTACAGATGACTGGGGAATGGTTATATCTTTTAAAACATCATCTTCAAAGTAATATAAGTGACTGTTTTAAATTTGTCCTGGAAAATTATTTCTATGAACTGAATATTTTTAACCTAACTTGCAGTTCACAGAAGAAAAGCTTGGTCAGGCAGAGAAGACTGAACTGGATGCTCATCTGGAGAACCTTCTCAGCAAAGCAGAATGCACTAAATTATGGACAGAAAAAATAATGAAGCAAACAGAAGTATTGTTGCAGCCAAATCCAAGTAAGAAGCCCTTCAGGTTTTTGTTTTCAACTTTTGAATTAATAGATATGCCAATGTAAATATTTACTGCATTATTAGCTATTGCATAAGTGAAGACAAAATGCAGCAGATTTAAAATTTGAAGGATGCAGTTATGGAAAGCACATTTTGAAAAGCTGGCAAGAATTGGAGACACTGCCAATTGCTGGTACTTTCTGAACCTTTCAAATGGGGAAAACTTTATACAGAGCTTTTTAAATTGTTGTATTGGTTCTATACTCAGTCTCGGGTTGATTGGTTTTTAGAATTGTTTACTGTTTAATTGAGTTTCCTATTCTAATTCCAGATATCTTGGGTAGCTGTAAGAACTGTGAAGTTCTTCATGGGGTAAATACAGTGGCTCAGAAATGTCATTATTATTTCATTATTTAAACTCTTTGCACAATGCAGATCCACTTGAAGCAGGCAAGATGAACTAAAATACTTGTCTTTAACAATTCCATTACTGAAGAATTAGCACCCTACTTAAACAATACAAAAAAGTGTCAAATACGATTTCATCACTTTTGAGTCTTACTGTAACAGTGACAGAAAAATACATGGGCAGAAGAAATAAAGTTTTATGGTGTGTTTTATTTGTTTCTGAAATTGCTGCTATGAGTAGTAATGTTGAGGACATCAGTTTCAGAGTCATCCTTTGGTTGTACTAGAGTTTAGAGCTATAGAAATTTGCTTAGTGTATAGACCTGAATTTTAAGTCAAGACCTGGTGTCTAGTCAATGGGTGAACTACTGAAAAAAATCTAAACCTCCTTTGGGTTTGCTCAAATGATAATTTTACGAAACGGCTACTACCTCTGCACTGAAAACAAGTATTCTCCTTGTAATGACATTCTGAGCTAGGATTTATTAGTAAAGGTAAATCATACACTGCTGACACTTCTCTAATGCCAAGTAGATTAATTCTGTATTACAGAGATGTTTGAAGTATTACTTTGGAAGTGTGTTGCATCTTTTAGTTCCAGAAAAACAGTATTTTTAAAATAAACCAACTAATCCTGTGGGAAGAATGCAGTAGAACTTGCAGAATATTCTAGCTCCAATTTCTACTTTTGTCGAGGTCAGAGGAAATAGTTGTCTTTTTCATTCAATTCAGTATTTGTAGTATCTCTTGGACTTTTTCAGAAACTTGTAAGCTTCAAATATTGAAACACTGACTGGAGGCTAGTGGAAGTGCATATAGAAGTTTCAGTAGAAGGATGATATATAGTAGTGTCTCAGTTCTGCTCTCCAGTCCATTTTCTGATGGCTAAAAATACTCAGCATTGAGCAGTGATCTTTGTGAATGTAACTTCAGCTGTTTGCTGGCCTACTTAGGAGAAGGATCAGAGAGCTGTTTTGGTGGTTGTTAATGGAGTGACCCTGTCCAGGGGAGGAAAAATCATTTTCAGTCCTGTTTATAGTTGTACCTATCGATCAGACCCATGTAATAGTGCAATAATTTTAGATTAATTTCCAGTTCTTCTGTGATCTAGTAAAACATAAATATTATGGCTTGAGTAAAGAAAACAAATCACTTTTGATAATTTCTTGTTCACTCTTGCTGCCAGGAAGTGGTCTGGTACCCCTAATTTTCTGTCTTAGATTAATTTTTGTGACCTTCATGAAATAGTAGTTACTTAATCCATTGCTGTTGAAAGTTATCTAGTTAACAAGTAGTATTAAAGTGGCAGGTTTGTTCACTGGAAAGTTTCTCTGTGGTTGTCTGTACTATTGTAGGCTGAAATTAGTTCTTACTGATTGTATAAATAAAGCCAGCTAGGTGAGAAATTAATGCAGTTGGTCAGAGAAATTGGATATTGTATCTGAGGAGTTTACTTTTACAATTACAGAGTCCCTGTTTAGGTGTGTGAGGCCTTTCCACCTAAGCTTCCTGTGGCTTAGTATTATGATAGGTAGTAATGCTCACATAGTCTTGACAAGTTTTTCTGATAATTTTATTGCTCAGACTAAGAAAAAATGAGAACGCAAAATGAAACATTTTCTAATAACTTTTAATGGTTTCTTTCAGAGTGTTTCAAGGGAGCGTGGGGCACAGGAAGGAGGATATAATTTCTGGGGTTATTGAACTTTCTGAATATTTTAATAGGGAACTTAGAGTAGTAGTTGAACTTAATTCCTACTGCTAATTGTAGTGAACCATTTTTGTCTTTTTAATGGAGGGGGAACAAAAGACTTTTTTTAAGGAGAAGTGTTCTGTTACTGCTCTTACTGTGGAGACTTCTGATCAAAATTCTGAAAAGCTTCGTAACTGTGCTAATGGAGAAGAAAAGTATAACTTTTCACTTTCCCAGATGACTCTAGGAAACGCTTGAACATAACATGGAACATGGTCAGCTTCCAGTTTTCAAGAACAGGATCTCCAGCTTAACATTGTTCACTTAATGTTGAGTTTAATGGCTGGATTTTGAAATTCTTTTTTTGTGTTCCTTTTTCTTCTTTGTTTGCTTGTTTCTATTTTCTGAGTTGTGCTTTAAATGACACTAATTATTTCAAATAAACATTTTTAGATGCCAGAATAGAAGAATTTGTCTACGAGAAGCTGGACCGCAAAGCACCAAGTCGCATGAATAACCCAGAGTTACTAGGCCAGTATATGATTGATGCTGGGAATGAATTTGGTCCAGGAACAGCCTATGGTAAGAAGTAAAGAAACCCATAGATACAGGCTTTTTTAACAATATAAAATTATATTTCTTGTCTTCCACTAGCTAAAACTGTTTAATGACATTTGTATCAGTTTGACTTGACTTGCTGTGTAACTGGATTCTAGGAGATCAGTGATGAGGTTTCTCTCCAAATCAAGAAACAAAACTTGTGGTTGGAATGGTATCCATCTTCATGGATGGATAATTATCTTAGCAGAGCAACTACATTTGGAGTTTAGTTTCCTTGTTAAAGGAACACATCTGCACATTTGACAGTATTTATTGATTTTATTTCTTGTTTGGATTGAAAATGTTACCTGAAATTGACTTCTGTATTAAGAAACCTGCCTAACTGTACAGTATTTCTGCTTTTCTTAATATATAATATTTTGATAAGGATAGGAGTATGGAACATGGTCTAAATTTTATTCCTTTTCTAGTAAATTTATATACCTATGACGAGATGGTTGGGGTATTATCTCTAATATTTTTACACTGCTGTTAATTTAAATGTCTAATTATAATGTTCTCTAAAACTCTTTAAGTTGCCAATACAAATTCTGCTGTTAATTTAATTAAACAACTGAAAAATGCAGGTGTCTGTATATATTATGGTATGCAAACTCTGATAGTTTACTCTCTTCAAGTCTTTATTTAAAATTACTGTGGGAGAGAAAACTTTTCTGTGAAGAATGAGTTCCTTATATTTGTTAAGAATTATGTTCTTTTTCAAAAAAGGAAAACCCAATTAAATAAAAGTAAATGTTTTATAGAATTCTTATGCCAAAATCAATAATGGCAAGCTTTGTTCCTCTTCCACATGATTTTTTGTATCTGTGGCTTTCCTTCTGATCATCAGTCTCAAGTCTTGCTTTTTAACATCAAACAAAATTGTACTTACAGGCACGCTGTCCCATAAGTTGCAGAAGTTTTTGAATTCAGGCAAATAAGATGAAATGTTAGCATGCAGATAGACTGTTAGGGTTTCATGGGTGTCATAAAGTCTTCTCTGAACACTTAGTGTCCATTCTAACTAAGCAGTATTAGCCTGTTGAAATTCCTTTTGATATATTAGTTTCACTTTCAATACTCCACTTGCATCTAAATTTCAAAGTATTGCTCAGTTAATGTGCAAATGCATATTTTAAAGTTTGAGTAGATGGGGGTGAGAAAAAGCACATTATTTTCCAATATCTTTATAAGCTTTTGCCTTGCTAACAACTAATCCTGTGTTAAGAATGTTGTATAGGAGAGGAAGTTGTTGAATTAAGATAAATAGGTATGACACCCAGTTCTGAAATAGGTGTTCACTATGGAGGTGCCATAATATGAGGTCTCATTGAAATCTTGCCTTGACCTGTGATCGTTCATAATAGAAATGGTTTGGCTTGTTGTTTGTTTGTTTTTATGTTGGTGTTTGGAGTGGTTTTTTGGGGGGGGGGGGGAAATTTGAGGTTTTGGGGTTTTCTCCATATTATTTTCTTTCTTTTGAAGGCCCTTTTTAATGGCATTGTGTTGTTTTTCAAACTACTGACCTAAACTTTCTTGATAGTAGCAACTTGTTTTGTTAACCTCCTGCCTGAACAATATGATTAACATAGTTTTTCCTTTGCAGGAAATGCACTCATTAAATGTGGAGAAACACAAAAACGAATTGGAGCAGCAGACAGAGAACTCATTCAAGCTTCTGCTATAAACTTCCTCACTCCCCTAAGAAACTTTATTGAAGGAGACTACAAAACTATTACTGTAAGTTGAATTGTACATTTTTCAGAATTTCACACCAATTGTAACTGTCAGTCTTCAAAATGTAGTAGTAGATAATGGTTCATTATTACTTTCCTCCAGGTAATATAGAAAAAAATCAATTGAAATTTGTGCCTTTGGAGTATCTTCTGTTTTTCTGCTGAGGTGAAACCAAAATAATAATGAAAACGTTTGTTTGGTAACTGTTGTTGTATGAGAAGTATGCATATTGAGCATAAACTGTATGAGAATAATTAGGATCTAATTCTGCCTCTCTCGAACTAAAGAACTTTTTTTTACATGATAATTCATTAAGAGCATTTCCAAGTAGACAGCCTTTTGCTTGTGTGTGTACCCAGTCTCACAAACTAACTTACTTTCAGAAAGAACGTAAACTGTTACAAAATAAAAGACTGGATTTGGATGCTGCAAAAACGAGACTGAAGAAGGCAAAAGTTGCAGAAGCTCGAGCTGCAGTAAGTAGAGGGTTTTTTTTTAGTTTGTCCATAACTTTCAGACTTACTGATAAATAATTTTCAACCTGACTGCTTGGTTATGTTTCCAGTCCTAGCTTCTTACCCTGGTTGTTTTTCTAGGTACTTTTGTAAGAAAAGCCTTAGTGGAACACAAGGAAACAGAAGTGAGTTACTGATCAAGGTGTTAGTCTTTTAAATATTCCATCAAGTTAGACTTACTCTCTTCTTGCTTTATAGTAGATGAGCCTGTACTGTCAAAAATTAATTTATACAACTTGCCAATATGGGTGTAAATACAAGTGCTTGAATCTCTGCAAATGTTGAAGTGTGTGTATAATTGCTTTCAACTGATGAACCTATCTATATTTAACTTCTCTATGTTCAAAAATATTTATGGTTTCTCTTTATGTATTGCTTACTGTTTTACACTTCCAAACAGAGGTGTGGCACTTCAACCCACATGACTTAACCATTCAGATTCCCTCAAAAAATGCTTATGCAAGGAGATTAAATTGAAAATAAATGTTACTGCTTTTTAAACTCTTAAAATGCTCTAAGTGAAGGAATGGACTGTTGTCTGTATGTAGTTTCATCAGGATATATTTACAGTATATTCATAGCAATTTTTTGACTTAATCTCCAAAGGGTCAGCCTTTAATGATGGATAGTGAAGTGATTTCTTCTGTAAGGGTTACTGCAGTAAGGGTCATGCAACTAAAGAAATCCAGTCAGTTTAAATACACAGGGACAGTGTACGTGATGGAGAGGCAGAAGAAGGACTTACAGATTTTACTGGCTTTTCAGAATGCACAATTGTCCTGAAAGATCTGAGAGGCATCATCTTGAGCTTTGAAGTGAGTTGCATCTTTGAGATCACGCTCAATCTAAAAACCAATATAATCTCTACCTGACAGTTGTGCTCTTCTGTGTCAGTCCATGTCATGCACACTGTCCCTCTGTATTTAAACTATCTGTATTTTTAAGTCTATGCATGCATTTTCCCTTGTGTAAATTCTATGCAAAAAGTCACTTCTCTATTTGTCAAGCTTAATTTGTAAGATTAACTATGGAGAACGGAGAAGGTTTTGATTAGCAAGTAGTGCAATTTTGAAGCAATGGGTAGAGGAAGACTGGATAGTAAACTATTCCTTTGCTTGACTTTGTTCAGAGTTAAGTTAAAAAAAAAAAAAAGTGTTTTTATTGTTAGCCTCCTTTGTGGTGTGGTAGCAAGTATGGACCTTACTTTCTAAAGCAATGAAATGACCGTAAGGAATTGTTCCCCTTGAGCCTGGTATTAAAATGATACATATGTATATATTATACTGAAGTTTTAATTCCATCAGCAGTGCAATCATTCAGAGCTTGGTGCTGATTGCTGCTGCTACTACTTGATCCTAAGTATTCATACAGCAAGTATGCAGTTTTATGCACATAATTTAGTGCTGGAAGAGCACAAAACCCTAAACCTCTTCACAATTTTGCCTATACTTTGCTGTCAAAATGTAATTAAAATTAATGTGCATGTGTAAGAAGTATTAGATTGTAGAATGCCAGCAGAAATATCAAAATTGCAGCTCTTCCTTATCTTCTGCAATATAGAGGTGAGAACTAACCTGGATGTAGGTGTGATGCAAATATTCTGCTGGCTCCCTTATTTTTAAAGGAAGAAACCTAACAAACAGGTCTGGACTGATAGGTTAGTGAAGTGTATTGAGCTATGACACAAATTTTTATGCTTTACTATTTTCTGTGACAGGTTAAAGTGCTAAATTTTATCCACATGTGATAACATGTTTTTATAACTGGGAAAAATAACTTGAAAATTGCTTGTCCCATGCTTACTGTACAACTGAAACAGCTTAGTTCAGTATTTAAAATCAAAATCTAAACTGTTTTATTTATCTATATTCACTTCACAGTCTTGTTTTGCTTAAACTTGCAGTGTGTTGTGGTGATAATCTCTTTACCTGCTATATTTGCAGTTTTATAACTTTCTTTTGTTTTTTTTATCTATACACTTAAGCAACTAAACATCTCTCAGCCTGAAGAGAATAACATTATGGTAAATGTCTCTTACATGCTCAACTTGCTGCATGTAAAATGGCTAAAGGTTTGTTGGCCTCCTGTGTTCATTCATTTTTCTGTCAAATGTTTCCTCTTGCTATCCAACTCATTTTGGTCTTGATTCAGAGGTTTTCCATTCCAAAATGGATTGGTGTAATGCACTAAATACACTAATATCAGTACAGCATTGGATGCTTTTTTTATCAGATTATTTCTGATAATTTGAAAGATACAGTATTATATTATAAATTCTGTGATTTTATGAATGTAAACTTAGGACAAAAAGGAGTTAATTTTTCACTTCTGAAATTATTTTCAGCTATTAGAGGAAAGGAATTATTTAGTTTTCCTATCTTTTTAATATGAGTAAAACTGAATTATGTGGAACAGCCTGGAATATGTGGGAATTATTCCTTTCAAGCAGTGTGTTACAAAGAACTGCTACTGAATAATGTCACAGAAGTTAATGGCTTAATTTAGACTACAATGTATCCTAAGCTTGTTGCAAGGACTCCCTAGTGCAGCTGGTTTTAGCACTATAGTTGTGAGAGTGGAAGAGAAGGGGATGAATTAGTTATGTACAGCATAGACTGTGCTGTCCATCCTGTTCTGGTTGGGGTTTGGATCTGCACAGCATATTGGGTCTCATCTCAATTTAGTGTTCCAGATTTCTCAGCTGTGATCAGATAAAAAATGAGCAAATAAACTTGTTTGTTGCAGTTTGCTCCTGCAACCTTTATACACATTTCTTCCTACTCTTGATTGTGTCATCATCTTACAATGAAAGAAGATGAAAATAACCACATTGCAAGAGGGAATTGAAGGAGCAAGCTGAAGTAATTAACTTTTAGACTAAATCCCTTGCAGTTCTATGATTTTGCTGTGCTGCTTCCTACTACTCTAATACTCAATGTGGAATACCTCTGTAGCTGTTTCAATTAAATTTAGGTTTCAGTCAAAGTGCTTGTGAAATAGAAAACTGGTAAGGAAATTAGCAAGAGAAAGCATTCATATCTTTCAATGTAAAAATGAGAATAGCCTTCCATAGTTTTCCATTATTATAACACATTAAGGTAACTTAAGTTCCTCCTAAGGTAATTTGGCTTGTCTGAATCATGCCATTTTTTGAAGTAGTTGTGTCTTGTGTTGTAATAGCTTGTTTTAAGTAGATTCTTGTAATACATTAATTCTATGAATCACACTCTCTTCAGTATCTAACTTTCATAGATGTAATGCTATCCATATTCATAATAGATTCATTGTGTATGAAGGGCTTTGGGCAACTGACTGTAGCACTTCTCAAATCCCTGTGAAGTTCTGAGGACAGGAAAGTACTTAAAAGCCAAAGTGTGATATATACTGGAATAGAGTACCACCAATGTCTAAGTTTGTATGTTTTTATTTTCTCCTCCCCCACTCTTAATGCTGACTAGATATGGGCTGAGGAAGTGACAAAAGTAAGTAAACACTTTTAAAATTGCAGAATTCTGAAATTATAACTTGTGCTGGTATACTGTAATAAGGGATATTACACGTTGTTGATTTCAGTCTGATGCTGGCAGCCTGATGCATTACATCAGAATCCACTGGGCCCCTCCAGGACCTTTCAGGTTTCAGTGGCAAAACAATGCCTGGGGCTTTGAAAAATAACAGTAAGCTGTTTCTGGCTGTCACTTAGTACCAGTACCATATGATTCTCATGGGACAAGATACAAGAGACAGCTACAGGACTTCTCTCAAAATTTACTGGTACGATATCCTCCTAAGAACAAGCTTATTTGAAAATTTTCAGTCATATTGGGGTCTAGTAATCTAAACTTTCCTGAAAACACTGATCTTCAAGTTTTACCCAGAACATGGGACACCTCACTTTTCTCCCCAGTGTTACTAGATCCTCAGCAGCTTAAGTTAGGGAGTAGGCACATCTGAAAACTGCACCTGCCCTGAAAGCTAGTTTGTAAGCTTAGCCTTGGGATGGGTTGCAGCATGCTCTGTCATGCCATCCCTTGCCCAGGGACAAACTCAGAGGAGCTCAGTGGTGTGTTTGGCAGTGGCTGCTGCAGTGCCTTGAGAAGGGCTGTTCTTAGGCTCACTAGCTCTGACAAACCAGCATGGGCAGCAGTCTGTGAGGGGGAGTGCAAACAGGGAAGGAGGGATTTCTGTAGAGGAGGGGTAATTAAAATAGAAGCAGAGCAGGGGCTTTGGAGTACAGTTGTTAATGGGCAACTAAGCTAGGCAGCTGTGGGAGGTGTAGGGAGAAGCTGGGATATGCAGCTTCAAGTGAAATCTTGGGAGTTGTGGGAGTTGCTCTTCCGGCTTTGTGAGTTACGGTGCCACAGGTGAGGATGAGTGTGAGTTCAGAGGGAAGGAGGCATTTAAAGTGAAAGGAGGGTTAACTGTAAAAGGAGGATTAGGTCAACTTTGATCCCAAAGTTTGAGACTTATGTAATGAATTAAATAACGTAACATTTGGAAGCAGGAAACCTGTCTGCTGGTTCTATATTGGGGGAGAAGATGGCAGGGAAAGCATACTGCTGTGTTGAAAACTAATCTTGAAGCTATTTGCTTTTTAGAGACAAGGACAAGCAATTTTTAGGGTAGTGAAATTTAACAGATTATGTCTTGGAAATAAGAAATACTGCGAAGTGCTTAACTATAGTATAAAGAAGACAAAAAACTTTAGCTCTTGTAATAAATTGTGTAATTCAGAGTCCCCTTTTTATTTAGTATATAAATAGCAGAGACTATTGAGAAGGAACTACAGCATTATGTACAGCTAAGGGAGCAGTAATCCTTCCACATTTCTAAAGGCAATCTGTCCTGTGTTTGAGAGTTTGAGGGGATGATTCATAAGTGTTTTCAATTTAAATATAACCTTCCCAGCAAAGAATTCAGACCATCCAGTCATCTGGCTCCATGACAGTTTGGGGTTTTTTTCTGAGTTAGAATAAAAGATATGCATGGTGGCAATGACAAACTTTCTTCAGTTTAGCTTCCTCTAACTCTGCATTTCAGAAGGAATATTAAATACTAGGCACAGCTGTATATCCACTACCAGTGTTTTACTAAAAGTATGTCTAGTAAAACAACATTAGCAAGGTGATTTTATTTCATATGCATTTATGTGTGTTGTCCCTTCACTGAAGGATTGCACAGTATTTGCACAGTATTTCTGAGTCCTGTACTCCAGTGTGAAATCTGGGGAGGTTATTTACATATGAATACGCAGATTCAAGACCGGGGGTCATATTCTGTAGTTGCAGAGCAAGTACCATTTTGAGGAATCTTCGTGACACATACCTAGTGAGGCCTTTTAATGATCCTCAAAACACAATACAACTGCAGCTGGGAAGTTTAGTCTTGTGTTTTTGAGCTCTTCACTCTGTCCAGAAATAAGGTGATCAAGTCATAAACTTCCCAGGTTTAAAGTAGCTGGTTTTCACCTTTAGCCTAAGGTGTAGAATAGATATGCTGTCCTGCTACTGTTCACTTAGCAATACTAAGGGATGGGCAAAACTCATTAAAGACATTATCACATAATTCAGTTAATAGAAATCTCTATAAATCCAGTACATTGGGCTTGTGTAAAAATATTTTAAGTCACTCTGCACTGAGTTAATATCTGTTACCACATTGCCTACTTTTCCTTTTCTTCCAGAAAGTAGTTGATTTGCTAGAATGTTGTTGAAACAAATACACTTATTGTGATGGATATGTCCCCTTTTTCTAAGTTCTTGTTCTTCTACATTTACTTACTTAACAGGGAGATGGAAACACATGAGCAACTGCTGACTTCAGAGAAGCAAGAGACAAAACTAGTTCTCTCCAGATAAATGATTTACTTACTGCTTTGATGGATTTTTAAAAGAAAATTAAGATCTTGTTTTTCTTCCCCTCTTGGCTATCAGATTAGCTTTTTTCATGTGTTTGTTCTTACATTTCTCTCAAAGGCTGACAGATTAATTTCACTGATACTAATTTAAATTTAATCAGAAAATTCCAAGCAAAGATTCTTTCCTCAAGAAACTTTGAAGACCTAACTAATTTGAAACTTGATACAAACACTGCTATCTCAGTTTTGAGTAAGAGGCACACAGTTCTCTTTAGGTACTTCTTCACTGTTGTAATTACTGTGTAAGCCCTTCCAGCTGCAGTGACTTCAGATGGAAAATGTTTCTTAGGTAACTGTGTCATTCTTCTGTGCTCTTTCCTGAGGTTCCATTTGACTTTTCATTCTGATTAACATTAGCTGAACACAAGAGCAGAATGGTTGCAAACACATAAAATGCTTTTGAAACCAGTGTTTTATTGGTATCACCTCATTAATTTTCCTGAAAATATATTTCTCCTTTCTGAGAAGAGTAATTGCTGCATCTTGGACCTAATGTAGATTTTTGCCCTTGGGTTTGTTTTTAGAAACAAGGCACTAAATGAATATAAGCATTGAGGTGAGGTAATCCAGATTCCAGTCTGAGGACATTCTTTCTTGGAGAAATGGATCTTAGAGCACATATTCTGTATGTGTGTGTTTAGTGTAATGTTTTTCTTTTCCCTCCAAAAAAGTACTCTAAAGTAATTTTAGCTGTGCTAGATTGAAGCAATTGAAAACTTAAAAATCATTGAGAACTATATGTAACAAGGAATAAATTTGAACTATTGAAATATGAAACTTGTGTTACATAATTTTAATACAAATTTTACTGTAATTGTAGCATCAAGTGTTAGAACATTTTGTATAGTTCAGGTTTATTTATTTAAAAGACTCGTTGATTACAAGCTCCAGAAATAGTTGTAGTAATTTGGTGGCCAGTATAAGACATTAAATTGAGACATCCTGATAAAACTTCACATCAAAGAGTTGTGTACAGCTGATTGCTGTGCAGTTATGTGGCAAAAATAACGTGAAATTTACCTTGAATTATTTCATCAGAGACCTGTTAGTTTGAAGTATAGAAAAAAATTACATTATTCTTGGCTGCCATTGGTATGCTGACAAAACCCCTGGTGCAAACATGGTTGTGCCAGTGAACAATTGGTTTGTTATGGGGAGAGGTGGGGTAATACTGCTGGCAAAGCAATGCCTTTCTTTTGCTTACATAGTAGGTGTCTGATGGTAAGCTGCAGTCTGTGTACACAGAGCCTCAACACTTCTGAACCCAAAATGCAATTACTGTTTTTGCCTAGTAGAGATCTGCAAAGAAAAAGCCCATTTCAAACACCTAAGCTTGTGATTCGTGCATTTGTAGGAGCAGTTCTGCATCAAGGGGGACTGCTGCAGTGGGCAGGTGTAGCACAGAGCACTGTGCCAGTTCCTGATGTGCATTCTTGCTTTTAGTCTGAACAGGAGGTGCGAATTACTCAGAGCGAATTTGACCGTCAAGCAGAGATTACCAGACTGCTGCTGGAGGGAATCAGCAGCACACATGTGAGTACCCAAAAGGTGCTGAGGAGGAAAGTCAGTATCAGGGTGCCTTCTTACCATAGCTGCACTAAACTACTTGGGAACTCTGGTCTATGAGGTTTCACTTCAGTGCATTAAAGCATCAGACCAAAAGGGTTGGTTTTTTTTTAATTCTAATTTAATATTCACTGAAATTAACTTTATTTTCCCATTAACCTTCAGAATGCAGGAGCTTTCATTTTCATTCTTTATACCCAGCTTCCCATTCATCAGATCAATTGAGTGTTGGCACCACAAAAATGTTTACTCAAGTATGTTAATTTTTGTGACATTTTATCCTGTTTGCCTGGGAAATCCAGGCACTCTGCCTATCTGGTGTTTATCCCTAAGTGCCAGTATTGGCATTAGCACCTGACTTGGTGCCTGCTCTTTCTAATGCAGCTCTGTGCCCTGGTAGATTAAACTCTTGAATTCTTTGCTGTGTTACAGGCACATCATCTCCGCTGTCTGAATGACTTTGTGGAAGCTCAGATGACCTATTATGCACAATGTTACCAATACATGCTGGATCTCCAGAAACAACTTGGAAGGTAGGAATACTGTATAAACTTCAGGAAAAATCTCAGTTTTTAATAAATGCTTTTGAATGGTAGGAAAATGTACAATGTGTCTACAGTGGTGGACACACAGGCATGCTGGACTGAAAGGAAATATATCTGTTCTCAGGTAATTAATATATAATTACCCAGTGCAACTACTTCCCTAAGCCTGCACACAGCACTAAAGCTTTTTGAGAGTTGATCCACTAAGATTTTATGTATTGTGTAATTGAGGAAAGTGAGCTCTTGGTAGCCTCATTTAATGTGACAAAAATAAATTTCTAGAGATTTATTTGTAGTCTCAGTTGTTGTCTCAGTATTTCAGCTGTCTTATGCTTCATGCTACTAAACCACTGTGCAATGTGGGATAAGTTTTTATACTTCCTATAAATTCCTGTTGCCCCTTAATTCGCTAGAGGTCATTATCTGATTTTCTGATGAAACCCTGTTCTCCACTCTTAACTGAGTTGCCAGCATAGATACAGTATAGGAAGAAATCTACCTCATCCTACCTATTATCCAGAGCACACACAGTAGAATGAACAAGATTGTCTTGTTTCATGGGTTTAGCATTTTTAAAGTAAGATAAGAAGCTGACATCAGTTTGTGCTCTTAATCCTTTTTGTGTGATGGGTGGGAATACAGAGAGATCTATATACTTACACTTCATAAAGTTTCTCTATTCTAATTCTGCACAAGTCACCCTTTCTCAGAGTTACACGGAGAGTAACTCTGTGAGTTTACGTGAGAGTATGCCCTGAAGAATTGTCTGTACTTAGAAGTTTACTGTGATGTCTGTTCTAGGTAACTGTCTCTGAGGTATCTCTGTTTATGTTTTCCCTGACAAGGAAGTAAAAACAAAAGTGTTCTTGAGTCTTACCCTTTTCCTGACTTGCAACTTCCTGTGGCATTTGATTTCCTCAGTTTGTTTAAATTTGTAGTTTAAGATTTTTTTTTTAGTCTTACAAAATACTAAACTGCTAAATTGTAGTTTAAAGTATTTAAAATTTCCATCTAAAAAGCTACATCTTTAAAGTTACATCCCAGTCTAATACAGTCCAGATATTCAACTATAAAATGTGGCAGCACATAAATACAAATTATGGAATTGAAAGCTTGAAAACAAACATTTACAGTATTAAGGAAAAGCCACTTTTAAATTAGAAATTAAGTGAAATATATTTACACAACTATTTTGAGAGGATATTTTTAAAATGTTTACTCCTATCCTAGTGTATTTATCAAACAGAAAGCCTTAAAAATAATACCCTTATTCTAAGGAAGAACATTTTCCTTTGTTAAATTTGTTTTCCTTTGTTAACATTTGTTAAATTCTGCTTTAGGATGTATAGCTTGTCCCAGAACTGCTGTTTTCGTTTAAAATTTGAGTAAGTTGCTACCACATATTAAAAAAAAAAAGTGTATTTGAAGAAAACAGTGTCTTTAGGAAAACAGATGTATTTTTATGTGGCTGTGATCTGATTAGTATTTTTAATAAAATTACTATGACTGGTAGAAAACCAAAAGCATGGAAGCTTTGCAAAATTCTAAATGCCTCTAACAGTGAAATGAAGTTTCTCTGCCTATGTGGATTAAAATAGTTATGGTATTAATCTTGGGTGTGTCTTTCCTTCCTTGTGCAAGGAAATCCCACTGAAGTATAACAGAGCACTGGGACAGGTCTCAGGTTGTGTTCCTTGCTGCTATTTATAGGGGCGTGGTGTGTAGCCTTTGCATTAAATAAGCGGATGAGCAGGGTTTGTGCTCCCGAGGTTATGTGGGCACACAAAGACCAAATAAACAACTTAGGCAGCTCAGCTGGATGTTGGTTAGGTCTGCCAGTGCTGTGTTGGTTAACACATTGTGCTGAGTTACACAGCTTTTCACGCATCTAAGAATGGTATTGTGCAACATTCTCACATAAAAGCCAAGAACTGGAAGCGCTGAGTTTCGTTTTGAGGTTGTTGATGGACCAGAGGCATTCAGCCTCTTAAGTGAGATCAGTTTGTTACTTGAAACAGACCTGGTTCTCAGAGGAGATGCATGTGATATTTTCCCTGGGTCTGAATCTAGGGCATACAGCCCCTCTTGGTTCCAAAGCTGAGCACTGATCTTCCTGATGTACTCTCCAGAGGCAACTGTAGGGAAGGTGGAGGAAAAACTTGTACTCGGTTCTCTTTATATAAATAGACATATTTTTATGGATGTTTCTCTTCAAGGCAGCATCAGCTGCTTATCTCTGTATTGCCTTCCCCTCCTGTGAGACTGGATTGATTCTTTAAATCAAATCTCCCATTTTTTTTTATTTTCAGTTCCTCAGAATGAACTAAACAAATCTATTTCAAATATTCTGGTACTCTGGCTGCTTTTTTTCTTCCTGATAGCTGCTTTTCCTCTGAAGTTTCTCAGTTTCCCTGACAGACAAATGTAAGCTGTGGCATAATTTTTTTCAGATTATCTATTAAAAGTATCTTACTCTACAGGCTGTGAAACTCTTTTTACTCAAGCATTCAAAATAAAAAACACTGAACCAGACAACCTCTGTATAGCTGAAGCCTTCCAGTAAAATGCCTTACATACAGCTTTGCAAAAGGAGTGAGACTTAATGCTCCACTGATTGACAGAATGATTATAAAGTTTTGGCTTTCTGTTCCACTGACTGTACGAACCAGTGACCCTTTGAACTGAGCAGAATGACTTGCAAGTAATTACTGTGTAAATTGAGAACAGGTTTAGCAGTATATTGAAGAGTCATTTAAGAATATTGAGAGACAGCTGATTGTCATTTAAAATTAAATCCCTCTGGTTGAATGCCAGCTAGTCATGTAATAAATACATCATGAGGCACAGCTGAGTTATACCTACAGAAATGTGGGGTCTGGTTTTGGCTTCCTTTATTCTGCTTGTTGGATTTGTTCAGGATATGTGATGAACTAGCTTGAAAAACTAATCTAGCAAATGAAAAAAAAAAATTGGTGGAGTTACCTTCTCTTCTTGGTGAGTTGAACCAGCTCTTTGTAATTAAGTGGGATCAAGGTAAGCCTCAGGGGAAGTGGGACTTTCTCCTTTGCACAGTAGTAAGTTGCTGCCTAAATTCAGAACAATTTCCTGAAAGTCTTCCCAGTTTTAACATGCAATTCGGTCTGACTGTTAAGGGGCTAGTGCTGTCCTCCATATTACACTGCTGCTCTTTTCTTTAAGTCAGATACAATTGTGACTGCAAAATGAACATGTTTAATAAGCTATTCTCATGGAAATTAGTTAACTTCCTGATTTTTGGTTAGTTCAGGTTGTTGAATCAAAAGCAGCAGATTGCTAGATCTGACTCAAATGATAGAGAATGAACGTCTGTGCAAAAAAGGAGTACAGGAGTGGGTGTCCCTGTTTGGTGGCATTGTGCATTTACCAGGTTATGTGTGAACCTGGAACCTTGTGTGCATGAGTGCTTCAGCTGTTACAGATATGAGCTGCATTAGTTCCAGTATTTCTTGTCAGATGAGCCAAAAATTAGTTGCTGCATTGATAGGTTTAGTTTTTACCTGCATTAGTCCCTAAACCAGCTCATCTTATGATCATATGAGCACCAGTAATGCTGCAGACATGGTTGTGGAAGTATACTGATCTGGATTTACATGGGTACAGCTGCCACTGAACTGCACCTTCAGAAACATCTGACTGGGAGCAGAGGTGGGAAGGGATGAGATGAGGCTGTTTTCTGGTGGGTTCATATGTGTGGTGTGGATAGATCTTCCTTATGTCTAAAGAACAGGCACACAAAAGGAGGGGGGAGGTAATATGCCCATATCCCAGATGTTAATGAAGAGGCATGCATGTAGAAGGACTGATGAGGGGAGTTATGTGGGAACTCACTTATCAAAAGAATGGGAGGAAATGCAGCTACAGTTCCAGGTCATCATGACTCCGTCTAACTCCTATTTGCTGGCCCTTTTTTACTGCATCAGCTCCGTCACATTTTAAAACCTCTATTGACCTACTCGTAAGGTGGAATCCAGATGGGTGTTAGAACCAAGTAAGGCAGCAAAGGGACAAGAAATTGTTACATCAGCTGCTAAATAACTGAGTTTAGTCTGCCACAGGACTGCATCCCAGAATGTAGGGCAGAGGGACATGAGATGTTCTCAGAGCTCATCATAGCTGGTCCATTCTTCCTGCTCCACTGCCCCAAAATCTCTTGCTGCTTTGCTCTCCTTTTTGCTCCTTCCATTTTTCAGTTGTTATTCTGTGCTTTCCCTTGTATCTGCTTTGTCACTCATAACAGTTTTTTGTGACTGAGCTCATTAACTGAGTAGATTATACACTTTTTTCCCTCTTTTTCAGTCAGGTTCATGAATTTAATTGACTTCATGGGAGGGTCTGGCAAGCACTATGGCTGGCATTGAGCAAGTAGCAGCCTGACCTAGAAATGAGGAGCTTAAGTTGATATACATTCATTTTTAGTGTAAAAAATGTTTTTTTTTTTTGCTTTACAGCATGAATTAGGTGAATCAATGAACTGATTTAGATTACAAAAATACTCGTGCGGTTTTTCTTGCTTCCAGAGGGAGGCTGTGGTTTTAGGTTGTATTATATTTCCCTGATCTGGTTCGTCAGCACAATCTTTTGTGTAACCACATAATTGAGGAATGAACAGGAGGAGGTGGAGGCTACTTTTCCTGGCAGAGCTGTCAAAAGAATTGTTTATCAAAGTACAATCTGAATTGAGTTTGACCAACAGTGCTTTCTTGGTTTTGCCTTTTTTTAAGAGACAACTAGCCAAGGTTTTTTAAGGTGGCAGTATTCCTTTTCAGTTATGTTGATTTGATTTATACTACTTATCAGGAACAAGCATCTTTATTTATGTTATACAACTCTCAGTGCTGTTATCTTACTACTATCTACTGGTGTTTATTGCTGATAAAAATAAGAATGCTAATTTAGGCATGGGAGTATGTATAATGCCCTGTGTAAAATAGATTCACTTGGAAGTCTTTTTTTTTTTTAATCTCACAGCTTTCCATCTACTTTCCTCTCCAACAACAATCAGTCTTCCACAACTCCTGTGCAGAGTGTTTCTTCTCCCTCAGTCTTGGCCTCAGCCTCTGCTTCATTGCCTTCAGTAAGCAATTCAATGGTTACTTCAGGCCTCAGTGAACTGAAGTCATCAAGTGGCAGCAGAAAAGCAAGAGTTCTCTATGATTATGATGCTGCAAACAGCAGTGAATTATCTCTACTTGCAGATGAGGTAAAGGTTTTCTATATACCTTATTTATTTGAAAGTAAAATGGCAATATTTGCAAGTCGCCAGTTAAGATTGCATTATTTCAATATTTTTATTTGACTTTTTTCTTATGTAGAAAGTGACTTAGAAGCTGTGGGCTCAGATTTTCTGTAAAGATGTAGCACATCAACACCATCTGTCTTTCCTTCATGAAGTCTACAGAAGTTTCTTCTAGGCTGCCTGTTTAGGCTGAGGGTGGATACCCAGGTTTAAGATAAAGCGTAATAGAAAATAAACAGTAATGAATAGAATTTCAACAGAAAAAATGTACTTTAAAATATGATACTGTGTCTATTCTTTTCCATGGACCAGTAAAATTATTTTTATGAGCATTAGATTATGTTCCATGGATGATCGTATTAAATGCTCTGTTTAACCTGGTTAATCTCTATTCCAAGACACTGGGAATCACATGAAGATAGACTGTAACTCTTCCCTGCAAATGAAATTTATAATAATGTGTTTGTCTTTTTGTAGGTGATAACAGTGTACAGTATCCCTGGCATGGATTCAGACTGGCTGATGGGTGAAAGGGGAAATCAGAAAGGCAAAGTGCCTATTACTTATTTAGAACTGCTAAACTAAGTGGCTGGCCTCAATAGAGACTGTTGATTATGGCAACACCATATTTATATACAATTAGCGTTATGTAAGCAGGTTTATGTGTCTTCCATGTTATTGTCTTGAGGGACAAATACCAGCCATTAAAATCTGGCTTTTCTGCCAGCATGGTTGCACGGTCAATACTCTATTCAAATTTAATGTGTTTAAAGCTTTTACTTCATGTGCCAAGAACGTTTCCTACAGATTTGTTTCTACTGAAGTTTTCACTAATACAAGCTTCTACTTTTGAGTAATCTAGATTGAAAGCAGGAGGTACTGTTTTCTACTGAAATTTTTCATTAATGGCAAAGCTTTTCTTCACATAAAATAAACTTATTGTGAACTGATGCAGGTGTAATGCACATTATTTGAATAACCAAAACCAAACGTGAAACATAAACCATGTGGTTCTGTCCCCAACACTTGTGGAGCTCAGATGTGCTGAGGCTTCTCCTGAATGTCTTGTGCATTTAGTCACCTCTGAAAACTTCAGGCAAGTTCTCAGTGTGCTGAGCTTTTAAGTTGCATCTAGGTGTATTGACACAAAGTAGGGACATATATTCTGACTTGTTTTAACCTTGCCTTATATTTTTTCCTTTAATTGCTTTCTAGAAAAGAGACTAATTTAGTTTGATTAGTAATTTTAAAAATTCTTTCAACTGCAAGTCAGCCTTTATGTTAAGCAGTGCATTTTGTTAACCAAATATGAATTGTTTCCCTACATTTAAGTAGTTGTATAGAGGAGTGTACTGTTGTTCAGATTATAGGTTGTAATGAAATTCTGCATTCCCAATTCTTATGCAACAGTTTATTTCATGTTCTAATTGGATTCAATTAGTGTTAGGCATTTTGCTTTGCAAGAGAATCTCCTTTCAATGCAGGAAGGAAAAAATGTTTTGAATCTAAAAATGGCTTTATGAAAGGTAGTATTATTTGTAAATAAAACAACATTTTCCTAAACACTGCACCCTTTAGCATTTCATAAGTAGCAGATTTTTAAAGCTGTAAAAAGATTTAAAAAGTGTAGTTGAGGGGAATCTTCCTTTCTTTCTTTCTTTTACCTTTAGTTTCACTATAGTTAGTTAATTGGGTTGGACTTGTCGAAGGAAACTCTTCTTGCAGATAATGCAAATGACCAGAAGTCCACTTTAGCTCTCAGGGAACACTGGTACCAGTGCTGAGCAAACTGCTTCTGATCAGCAACTTTGTTTGCAATGACATTTCCTTAACAAATTTTTAACATTGTCATGTGAGCATGTAGTGATGAAACATTTAGCAATAGAAATTACTTCAGTGGGATTACTAGAACTATATTAATTTAGGTGTTACGGCTATTTAATTAAAAAGTGATGATTTTTATTTTGACTTTCACTTCCAAAATTACTGTCTTTCATTTTTAGAGTGCAGAAGTTACATTAGAACAAATATATTGCATTGGTTCATTTCTTGCAGTAACTACCAAGAAAATCCAAAATTTAATCTGTCTATTAAATGCAAATATTAGAGAGAACAAGAATAATAGTTAGTGATGAAGTAAAACTAATCATGAATCATTCATGATGCATTAAATAAAATTAATTGAAGATAAGACCCTATGGTTTAGAAGTAAAAAGACTGAGCCATTTACTACAGTGATGATATGCAGTCCTCTCTAATGTGAACTGCAATCAAATCTGTTTCAATTCAAATTAATATTGTTCATTTGACTTAATTTTTAGAATATTCAAGATAATTAAAAAATAACTCGGCTATATTGGACTATTTACTTTGTATTTAAGTGCAATAAAATGTTACAGAACAGCATGTTAAGTTATGATGGAGATTTAGTGAAATCTGAGTAGTACAGCTATGTGAAGGCAACATTTAGCAGCAGTCAAAATTTCTGTGTCAACAACTTAAGCTGTCGAGAGAAATTGAAGTTGACCCTCCATCTAAAAAAGCTGAAAATTTGTATCTTCTCCCTGGTTTTGTTTAATTTCAGCCCAAAAGTAATTTTTACTGTAATTGTTACTGTTTTCTTAAACGCATCTATTGTGAGATTCCCTGTTGTACACCTGAAAAGGGGAGCTGGCAGAACAGTGCTTGCTTGCAGTTGTATTGCACTGAATATAACTTTACTGCAGGTAGTCCCAAAACTCAATCTTTGCATGTCACTTTTTTGGCAACTTTCAAGCAGAAATTAACTGAGTTTTTGATTTTGTTTGCTGACTCAATGATTATTGCAACATATACAAAAGTAACTGATTTTGGCTTTGGGTCTCTTATTTCTTTGGTTTGTTCCCTGTTTTCTTAGAACAAGCTTTATTGGTTGAAAGAAAAGAGAAAGGGTAGACAAGGCCAGAAAAATCCTATGTAAAAGTTGTAGACATTTATGAAATCAGATTTCAATCACAGAAAAATATACAGAATGTGCATTATCTTACATTTAATAACTGGTTTGGCAAGATAAGTGCGTTCAGAATTGATACCTAAGGATATGTGCAGGCAGGGGACAAGTACTTCCATCGCTGTTCTATACATGCATTTTTTTCCTGTATTCACTGGCATTTCACTTCATTCTAATTAATGCTAAGATTTTGAACAATTTCAAGTAGAACAGTCATCACATTTATATTCTGTAACAAACCTGAGTGAGTCTTCATCACAGCTTATCAGTTTTTATGGCAGATGGGATAATATACGACATCATTAGTGTCAGTAAATTAATACTTTTAGAAAAATACTTTTACATCCTGGTTTTATATAATTTCTGCCTTAAGTGCTGTTGCAATGCTTTCTTAGCCAGGCCAAGCTTGAGAATTAACTCTTACTGATTCTGAACAGGAATTCTGATTTAGACCTCTTGCAAACGATGAGATTTTAATAACTTTTATTACTTCTGTTCCTTTCTAGAGTAGTAGTGTATCTTGGAGCAAAATTTTCTACCATACAGAAATTTTGGCCACAGGTAGACCCATCAGTATGTAGTGTCTAATTGAGACAAATATGTGTGGGAAGGTGGAAGGAAATATCTGTGGAGTGTGTGACTGTGCAAAGATATTGAACTTAGCATAGAGCTGTGCCCAAACTAATTAGTCTTCTGAAATGCAAGCATGATTAGCCCACAAACAGCAGTGTGTTAGTACAAGTCTGTTGCTGCTGGGATTGGAGCTGGCACCCCTGGATCTCTACACAGTGCAGAAATTACTGTGCTGCCACTGTCACCAGTGCAGGTACCAATTTACTGAAGGTTATGGAAGTTGTAGGAAGGGATAGAGTTAAGCCCCTATATTCTAGTTGTGAGAATATCCCATATCTTCAAGGAGCACTTTAGGGAGAGTGTCTTTCTTGTTACAATGCAGATGCCATAGCAATAGACTAAAGCAGGCATATGAAGATTGAAAAAGCTGAAGTTTAATAACTGTAGGTGCTCTGCTAAAATCAACTTGAGAGAATTGCTTACAAGCTCTTTAGGCAGTGACCAGCAAGTTATGTCCAACAAAAACTACGAACAGATGGTTCTGATGTTTTTGGAAGAGAAGCAAAGTGGGAAATGTCCAAATGTGAAACCTGAAGATATTTTGACAAAACCATGTAAATAATTGGAGGTGATATGCATGCTTAGCATGGGGCTTACAGTATGTAACCACTGAAAATGCATAGGTGTATTCTGGAACAATACATTGGTACAGTAAATGATAAGAGTGATCTAGATTAAATTTTTACATCTGGTAGTTGAAGCTTGATTTTTTTTTCATGCAGGTAGCTGTACAATTAAGCCCTAAGTTTGGCCACAAAAAGCATCTTCATAATTGCATTTTGCTGTACTGTTCTCAGTAGAAGAAATACACATGACAGTTTCACTTTTAAATCTGCTCAGGGAAAAAGATAACATTAAAACTGTTTTGGTTCTGTTATCAATGACACATTTAGAGTTTAATCTGGGAATTAATTGTAAATTGTTAGATTAAATGATATTAAATATTTGATTATCTGAGCTCAGTCCTTAAAAAATTGTGCAAGAGTTACCTGAGGTATATTCTAGGAGCCTAGGTGTGATAATATTTAGAAATTCAGTTAATTTGCTTCTATAGTGGTTCAAAATAACTAACAGTGCAAAAACTCAGTGAACTACAGGCAACTTGAGTGTAACTGAGCAGAATGTGGGGTTTTATGTATTATGTCTGGGCTTTCCAGTCTCCTTCTAAAAGCATGCTTTCTACCAAGCAGCTTCATCAAAGTTCAGTCTGGGAGTTTGATAAATGGTTTTTGCTCATCCTTAATACTTGAGCCAGTGCATACACAGAGCCACTTTAAAGATCAATTATCATTTTAATATTCCATGACAATGCTTTTTGCTATTGTCTCAATCAGTAATGCCACAAAATAAACATAGGAAGTACAACATATGTAGCTACTTTTGCCAGAAAACAATGATGTTTATTGCTTGGTTTTTGTAACAAGTTTCTGCTGTCAGCAGTCTCTCTGTCTGGCTTTTTGACTTGACAACACGACAAAGGCAGAATGATGTTCCCTTTCAAGCACTGGCATTTGAGAATTTGTGCTGACTCAAGGAAGTGCCAGTTCCAGTGCTATTAAATACAAAGCACTATGAAGGTACCCCAGCAGAACCCACTGGGGTTATGGGTTGCTTTTGTGAGGGTTTAGTTTTCTTCAGGAGTCATTATATTTTTCCAGTATTAAGATACCATGCTAAAGTTTGAGGTTTAATATGACAAGAACTCTCCTTTTTGTATAACCTTTATAGCATAATGCCAGTAGTCACTGAAAGATACATTTAAGATACAATATATTGAACAGAACTAAATTAGGGCCATGCTTTTAGATCAGTGGTGGCCAGCATCTCGGTTATTAGGAATTAGTCTGACCACACCATCTCATTTGTCTTAAAATAATTCTCCTGATTCTCTTTATATCTGGAGGTACTGAATATAGAGATGCCTTGAATTTATATTTTGCTTGTCTTTCTTTTTTTAGCTTATTCTCAAGGTTGACTCTTGCTATGAAACTGGCCATCAACGCTTTCAGAATACTTCTGCCCCAGAAATGAACTCAAGTATTTAGGAGTAAATAAGTAGCTTCAGAAGGCAGGAATTGCTAATTCCTAAAGAGTCCAGTGTTGGAAGAAAGCCTGAGTACAATCTGTTGGAGATTTTTTACAGAGGGCACATACACCAGAGATATGGGATTGATACATTTTTTCTTGCAGTGTGCACAAAATTCTTCACTAGTGCAGGATATATTCTCCTATATGTAGGTCTGTAGGTCAAACACAGAGGAAAAACTTATTTCAGGCTTAGTTTGCTGTAAATTAAAGGGCTCTCGTCAGCTTTGGTGAGGCCTGAAC